ATATAATTAGGACTAGTCTAGCTCGTTTAGCTCATCTAGACTGCAGTCTAATTAGTCTACTAGTAGCCAATAAATATCAATGGATAGCTAGTCTGCCTTTTCATTGGACTGCTAGCTTGACTAGCCATGTGAAGAAACACAGTGTAGGCAATAGTTAACCCGTTCAACTAGTTGACCTTTATCTAGTTGGTTTAGTTTGTCATTCCCAAACTGGTAGTTAAACGGGATCAAACTGGTAAACTAGATAACCATCATTTTTGATGAAAATGTATATAAATTTGTGTAGGAATCGCAAATAAAACTTTTGTATCTTTTAATCAAAAAATAGAAATCACCTAGTTTCTTTTACAATAGGAAACTACCAGTTCAATTATTAAACTACTAATGTAACAACCCGTTTAGTTGGGTATATCTTCATTTTCAACTAGTTGGTTTAGTTTAGTAAATGATGAACTGCCAATTAAACTAGTGATTTCCAAACTACCAGTTTAATAACGGGTTCGCACTATTGCCTACACTGAAAAATACCTAGTATGTTCTGCAGTCCGGACTATTGGACACATCACTGATGCACTTGAGTACATATCTCTGCTGATTGATCTTCGCTTTTGCTTCCCGCGGATTTCCTCTTCCTCCTATTCCTCCTCTCTTTGTCCCCTCGTTCTGCTGCCTGATATACATCGCATCACATAGCTTATCTTCTTCGCTTTTCCCCTACCCTAGATCCCACTATCATCATATATCATCCTCACCAATCCTATCTCCCTCATATCACCCACTTTCCTGTCGATCACCCTTTTATTTCCAACATCTATAATCCCATTATCTATCCTAAGCTCCCCCAACGATCTTGAGTTTATTTATCACAGTGTAGTCAGTAATTGGAAACTGGCAGTTTGGGAAGCTGTAGTTTGACTGGTCTTGAATAACAAAAACTAAACCGACTGGCACTTAGATTCAATAAACTAAACTGCCAATTTAAATAGTACATAGTTCAACTGATTAATCAACTATTGACTACACTGATCCATAATTTCCTAGCAAGAAAAACGAAGAAAGGAACAGTGAGCTCATTATATTTTCACGGGGACAAATTTCCGTACATACACAGCTCACCTATATCGTCACATTGATGTACCTCTTATCATTCCCTAGGAACAGCGAAGATGGAGAAAGCGAATTAGCGCTAGTGATAGCATCCGTTCCTCATGCATATGAATATATGAATCCAATCCATATCATTGGTCCTCCTCCTTCTCTTACTCCACATCCGCACCCCAAACAAATTCCAGATACATACATTGCATGCAGCACGCTCCCAGGCTCTCCGCTTACACAGAACATCATCAATCATAGCCAAGCCCCAGAATAGTATATATAACCAGAACAAGACTTTGCAAAACCCTAGTACGTAAGATAGAAATCTCCATCTCCATCTGCATTCTTCTCGCTATAGTTACCGCATCGCAAGTTTACTCAAACCAATCAATATCCCCTTTAAATCCTTCTTTTTCCACACCAAACTTCGCCATGTTCCCAATATTATATTACAACCAATCTACAGTTTCGTGGAATGTGAGAAATCTAGATTCCTCTGTCTCTGCAAAAAGCTGGAATGTCTGAATATAAATGGTGCTGGAATGGATTGCCCGTTCATGAGTACTTTGTACAATATGCGTTATGAAATTAGCCGATAGCTATTGCACCACACGCTTTAGTTAAAGTTTCGCCAAATTGAGTGGGGAAATAAGGGGTTGCTTTGAGTAATGTGACACATGTCGATGAAGTGATCGCTATGGGCGGATAAATGATTATTAGATCTTTCAGGAGTAAGGATGTCGGATGCTGTATCCCTGGTTGTATTGCAACTGGAAAGTGTGTGAGGAAGGTGAGGAAGTTGAAAGAAATGAGATGCATAGAGATGAGATTATGGGCGTTAGCCATTATCATTAGCCGTTAGCCGTTAGCCGTTAGCCGTTAGCCATTAGCCATTATTAGCCATAACTTTCAAAGCCGTGTCAAAAAGCGTGAAATCGATATAGGACTAATCGTCACCCGGCATCCAAAAGCAACGAGACTTCTTCAGGACGAGTAGTTTCTCGATAATCATCGGTACTATTGCATTTGTCTGAAATTGGAGAACTGGGCTAGGTCTAGCTCGTTTATCTCTCCACCGCTCGCTTGAATGTCTAATTCACTTTAGACACCTGAATCATTCTTTGGATATGTAAATTCATGTGGAACATCACAGACTAACTCTCCTCTCTATATGAATAAAACGGAAGTATTTAAAACCGTGTTCCTACTACTAGCAGGTTCTATAGAAGTTCATTCTCATTTCGGTGCCGACATGTATTGTACCCCATCCCGCCAAAACTACCGAGTAGGAGCTAACCGACGATTTGTATGCTCAACTCCACGATCAATAATGAACAGCGCTGTTCAATATGGATGCAAAACCTTCAAAAAAATATACACTACCGTGAGATCTCAAAAACTCATCATGCGCCAGCAAATCAGACGTTTGATGATAGAGGTTGAGTGAGAAGTGTCAGGATCTGATCGATACTAACTGGATGAGCCAATTATGTTAATCGATAGCCACACATGAAGTGCACCTGAGCCTCACCAATCCCAAGTTTCCATGACCGATTAGTCTCGAATCTGATTTCCGATTTGAGGAATTCACACGGCCGATTAGATCATTCGAAATTTGAGATTATACAAAGTACATAACTGCTTTTCCATCGAATCATACAGGGCCGAGTGTCTATAATACTCGTCAGCATCAAAAACCAGTCTGAAGTGCTAGCACACAATCATTTTTCTACTTCTTACGGAAGATCGAGGCATTAAATTTATACCCAGCATTGTATGAGATTTCGTGCGATCCAGTGCCCACTGGTATATAGAGGATCGTAGTGTTACTGCCGGTGGAAGCTATTCACACTATGCCGACTGATAGTGGAGGAGAAGTTAATCTTTACTTATAAGTAATATATATATCTGTGACATGGTCAGCTAGGCAGCTAGGCAGCTAAATGGAGGCAAACTTCTTGAAAATATTGATCCAATGCACCGATCGAATGGCTCGGCCAATTCCCACACTACTCATCAGCTCATACATAGCTTCGGTAATCTGGTAACTTTAATCATCGATCATATGACATATAACAGGTGACAGACTTGTGTATGGGTATTACAACGACGGCATACGTAGATAATAGTTAAATGATAGATAAGTGGCAAGATCGTCGATGAACCAATGAAAAATCATTGACTTAAAGAGGGAATACGTGCTCCCGAGGTTTCCTTCTGAATGTGGCATCGTGAGGCTTCAAAAGACCCCCCCCCACCTCCCCAGTTCAATTGTGTTGCAGATGTAAAGCTACCTGCTTCACTTGTTTATACAACCAGACAGGTCTCATCGGACTTTCCTTTGATTCTCTCAGCTTCTCCAAAGAGGATCTCTACTGGAAGAGGTATCCGTACCCGTCATTCCGATGGCGTAGTTTGGTTTCTTTTGTTTCTTCCAATTTCACAAAAGGAGATCTCAAAAAAGGCGAGGTGACCAAAATTGCGATGGCGTAGTCGTGGAGGATCAAATTAGGCATAAATGTTTAGAGATAAAATGAAGTCCAATCACTTAATTGAAGAAGAAATGCCGACTGCGGATGGAACGAAGAGGAGCGAAAGGGGGGAGATCTTTGAACAGCGATTTGGATGGGGGTTCAAGTAGGGGTTTTGGCTACTAGGTTTCTGATCATTTGATGCTGTACATAGGTCTAAATGGCATGGCTAGAGTTTAAGTCTTGAGGGAATTTCAAAACCCAAAAGGATACGCATCTTATTTAAGGAATCGTTATTCCTATGAACGAACATGCGAATCAAGTAGTAGTCAAGCAAGAAAATACAACCTCAATCGTAGTCCAAGATCTCGGGTCAGAACTAATCAATACCAGTCTTTCACTGAGTCTAAAGTAAGGAAGATTTTGAAGGATACACCTTGCTCTAACCAAAGTTCCAATAGCAAGTCCCAAACACATTGCATTATGATCAACTCTTACGGCCAAGAGGTCCGGATAATGAAAGCACCATTTATATCAAAATTCGACAACTTGGCTAGATACATGATATTCCGAGTGCACGGAAATAGACAAGGACTTGCATCTACCTAGATTTTTGATTCAGAATTTATATTGATTTATCAAAGACTGCAGTTCTGATGGATACTTTACTTGTGGCTAGAGAGGTAGATATGATACCAAAAACTCTAACAGGCTAACGTTTTAATGATCAACATATATTGGGACGTACGATCAAGTTTGCGGTTTCAACCCTCAGAGCGGAGTTGGATATTTGAAGAGACACAGGGCTCTAAAGGTCAGGATAAACTTGTGTATATGAGCAGCAAATTGCAGAGATATCTTGCCCATATCAAAAATCCCCTTTAGAGCCGGAGAATAGGTAATAAAACCCCCCTTGCCAACTATCAATGGAGTACTTGTAGATGCTAGAAATACCGAGCACAATCATAATAGCATTAGTTCTATAACACGGTAGCTAGAATCTATATTGCCTCCTTGAATTCGTCCATTATGAGACTGCATGGTAAAGCATAAGACAAGAGTTGTGCATCACGCTGTAGTAGATAGATCTTGATGGTAGAAAGAGGGCTATGAAATCTGCTTAACCTTGCCTCTAAATCTATAGCCGTATGCAGTTCCTTAGGGAACTAGCCAGTACTACAGAAATATCCATCGTTGTAACATGATCATGTGCACTATTAACAGCCATATAGTAATACGGCAGTGTAGTTCCTGGGTCAACAATTCCCACTATGGCTTCAGTACGGTTCTGAGCCTCGTCTCTCAACAATATATAAATGATGGCATTTGTAACGAAGACATTTCAGTCTCCATCTTCAACAATCCGAAGCCAAAATCCAAAATAATAAGACTAGCAACAATCGACAACCCACAATCAATTGTCTAAACACAATGCAAGCCAACTGCATGATTGGGGTGAGCGTCATCGTCCTTATAATCTTTATGGCTTTATTCGGTGTGGTCATCCACTACTACTTCGCTCGGACCATGCAGACCCGTCGCTTCTGGAGAAAACAAGAATTAAGACAGTGGTCGACAACTGGAACACAGGAAACCCGATCGGCGTTTTCGACCCAAGAATCATCGGAACAATGGAGTCAAGAATCCCGATCGCCGAGCTCGACCCAATCGCAGTCAACTCGAGCTTCATCTCAAAGGAGTGATAGGAGACATCGAACGCATCAGGGGAGGTCTGACGGGTTTCGCAGACTCTCGGATATTGCAGAAGAATGGCCAAGGGGTGAATATCAAGGAGCGTTGACAGAAGCTACCTCACAAAGAACAGCGGAGTCTCTCTCACAACTGGGACAAGAAACACCAGCTTCTCACGGATGCAACCAGACCTGCCATGGACATTCCCCCAGACCTGGTGAACATCAGGTTGGGCTTGGTATTGCTCATGGAAATGAGTGTTTCGCATAGTAATGGGGTTCGATTCTCATTCCCTTTTCCGGCACTTGAAAGGTGCCTCATATATTGGACACATATGTGCTGTCATGCTAAATCGGCCTAGGCAACTTATTTGCAGTATGGGGTACCGTCACGTTCATGTATGCGTTTTGCCACTATTACTTATGACTTTTTTGACTTTCTCATCGTCTTTGCCCTACTGCTGGGGTTTCGGATTTTGTTGCTTTAATGATATGTTGTAGTCTTGCTGTCATCCTCAAGCATTTTCACTCTCATCCACTTCTAGCATGAATCCGGGGCTCCAATACTCCCACTCATCACTTTGTTTATCGACCCACAACATACTGTCTGAGACAAGATCTTCGATGGCCGTCTTAGCCCTTGCTCTTGGCCACTGAAGGTTCAACATGAGCATTGAGACGCTAACATATCCAAGAAGTTGTGCGGTTTCCAAAACAGCACTCTGATCTGTGTTAAGCTCTTTGGGTATTGAGCGGATATATATTTTGTGGCCAACGGTTATGGTGGAGTACGAAGAACCAAGAGGTTTGAGGGTAGTCACGGCACGAAGGATATCATCACTAGGCGATCAATCAGCATTCTGAATAGTCATAACATAAGATGGTTAATACTCAGTTATTTCAGCCCCACCCTCCATTCGTGTGCTCATGATTCTATCTTTGACCTCTTTCACACCGATAAGACCACCATTTTCTTCTCTTGTAGCACCACAGACTTCCACAACTCTTACTGCCAACTCGAAATAAAAATCATTTACACTTGTACCAAGCATCTGAGCCCAAAAACTTCCACTCCCGTCTTTCCCCCCTGCATTATTACTACTGGCCAAAGGATCCACTCCAATAGCTGAGCACATCCGCGCAAACTCGGCGCGGAAAGTAGGATTCGAACGTATATCTTTGGCATGAGTTTGAGCAAATTGCTGCAGTAAAGAACGGAAGACAGATAGCTGTGTAGCTAAAGATGTGGAATGAGAACTTCGTAGATTATTTCCATGAGATGCATATTGAGCAGAAGTTATTCGAGACCTATCGAAAGCTGCGAGACCAACACCTTTGCGAGACATTGTAACAACTATTTTGTGATATTGATTTGAGGTCTCACAGGAAATGCTTTTGCGATAAGGATAACGTCGGAGGTTATGATCTGGGGCGAGTAATTGATCTAACTTGTTTTGGCATTAGTCTACTTCGCTAATTGACTGGCACGCACTTTTTCCAAATGAAAATTACCCTCACAAATCGAAGAATTCCGCGACAACGACGACAACACTTTACAACCAACTCGACTATCTACGCCAAGGTGAGCTCACATTCCGACTTGATTTGTATTGCGGTTGTTTCTGGGGTTTTGGGACGTTGGAGGATTGGCGCGCTATTTGGAGGTTCTGGAACTCGGATCATCAAATTTTTCGACAAGCGACGAGAGCATCATCAATTGTCTTCTACGATACGACCTGGCACATTTGGTGGGATAGGAAGCTAACGTTTACATTCGAATTTAAAGGTCAATAATCCAAAATGGCTTCCACTCAGTCTGTTCAGTGTTTCGGAAAGAAGAGAACCGGTAAGAATTTGAATATGAGAATCTATTTCGAAATGAGCTCGGGACTGACATGTTTAAAATAGCCACCGCGGTCGCCCATTGCAAGGTATGCATATTCATCTTCGACAGGGATCCCACCTATTCCCAACGAAAACCCCGAGTAATAAACATACTGATTCGAAGGATTTAGGCCGGAAAGGGACTTGTCAAGGTCAACGGAAAGCCTTTGAGCTTGGTTCAACCTGAGATCTTGAGATTCAAGGTCTACGAACCCCTCTTGATTGTCGGTCTCGAAAGATTCTCCGGTGTTGACATCCGTGTCCGAGTTACCGGTGGTGGTCAAACCTCCCAAATCTATGCCATCCGTCAAGCTATCTCCAAGGCCATCGTCGCCTACTACCAAAAGTTCGTCGATGAGCACTCAAAGAACCAATTGAAGCAAGCCCTCGTTACCTACGACAGAACTCTCTTGGTTGCCGATAACAGACGTTGCGAGCCAAAGAAGTTCGGAGGTCAGTTATATTCTAAACCGGATAGAAATGGGGTTTTGGCTAATACTTTCGATAGGTCCCGGTGCCAGAGCCAGATACCAAAAATCTTACCGTTAAATTTGGGGTTTTATGGGGTGCGGATATGGGGGAGTGGTCATGCTACATTTGTATTGGACTGGCTTTTTATGCTGGTTTATAGAATTTTAAGCAAATAAATGCAAGATTCTTCCGGAACGTTCATGAACTGAGGAACTTACGGTGATGGAAAGATTGAACAATACTACGACAACGTGCTGAGAACTCGCACGAGTAATGTTGTGTGTACATCTAGTGATTCAGGGGGCCGCTTTAATCGACCGAGAGCACAAGGTAGAATGGCCATGTCTATCTTCCAAAAACTCTTCCCGATTTCTACCAATCATTTGCGTATCAGCGTGTTTGAAGGATTCTAGCACAACGCAAGATACACAAGTCTTCCGCCCACCCTGCCCAGATCTTAATGACCGTAGACTTAGTGATCATGAGTTTCTCTCAAGTTTGAATAGAGTATCATTCTGGTTTGCAGTGGTGCATGAAGTATACCTCCCATAAAACTCTCCTACGGAATTTAAAAGCCATGTTGAATGTCAGCCAGCCAGCCAAAACTCCTTAAATAAGTTGAATCACCCATACGCCCAAGCCCATACTATTCAGTCCCTGTCTCTAATGCTTGATATTCGCCAAAATAGTCTTCATCATCTCATTGCCCACCCTCGTTGCCTCTGGAAATCTGGGCGCGAAGAACATCTGCGTCTTCTCAAACCTATCCTTCCAGCTCTCAAAATCTCCAAACTCTACACACTCGCTCCATCCTCTAGCCGCAAATGTAAACTCTAGATCGTCAGAACGGAATGTATTGTCGTCAATAGCGGTGTTGATAACCTCATCTAACAGTTTCTCGTTTCGGAAGAGGTATTCGGAGACACCCAGCCAAAGACGGAATAGAGGCGTGCTACAGATCATATGATCGTAGGGGATGATATTGAGGCGGGCCCAACAATCGACGATAGCGAGAAGAGAGAGATGGTTATTTGGAGTGGGTTTCTCGGGCTTTTTGCCTAGGGAGAAGCGGTCGAGTACTTCGTCTCGCAGGAGCAATTCATCGGACTCTTTTCTTCCAGCAAAGACAAAACGTCCAGCACTCTTGATTCTTTCCTCTAGCTCTCTTCTGTGTCCGCCAAGCATCAACTTATATAGATCTGTGACGCTTTGAGCGTACTCTCTAATCTGTTCTTTGGCGTAGGGGTTCAAGATGGCGAGACCAGCGTAGACGTGCCATTTTTGAGAATAGATGCGAAGGGTGAGATTGATTTTGACATTTTCAATACCACCAACGTAGCGGTTTATCTCCCAAGGAAATTGTAGGTTGGCGTGCCAGGCTTTACCCATGGATAAGAAGGCTGCATGGGTCACGGCTTGGGTATCTGCTGTGATGCGGTCGTGTTCAGATGCTGAAAGAATATGTCGTTTAGAGCCAAGGCTTGAAAGAACGTGCTCGACTTTGTCGAAGCTTTCTTCGGAGGCACGATGTTTGATAAGAACCTATGTTGTTAGATGGTACGTGAAAATGTGATATGCAAAGAATACTCACAAGTGGTTGATCTCGGGGATCAACGTTGGGGCCATGAAGGGAATGGCAAGATACGATGTCAACATCAGCAGGTAAATACTTCTCAAAAGCCGCTATCTCGGGAGCCTTGCAAGAGGTTTGTCCTCCAACTATCGCACCTTGCTTCGTGGCTACACAGAAAATTAGAATACGGATGCAACTGGATTATATGCACCATACAGGGACCATATTCAGCAACAACAATACCAATCGAGGCGGCTTCGACATTGTAGATGATGTAATCACTTGCTCTGGAAACGAGATGGCCATTGAGAAGAATTGTAATTTGTTTCTATGGACGACTCAGCACAAGCTGCGGGCCAAAAACTATCTAAACACTGGGTATTTACTCTATCTGCAAACTCTTCACGCAAGGCTTCATATTTATCCTCCCTGTCGCAGGCGTTCACTCTGCATCGAAAATATCAGTACTTTTCAGAGAAAGGCGGTTTAAACTGAGATTGATCGTTAGCTTCTGAGATTCCAAAATGTAACAAAAGCTGCAGATGAAGTTTGATATATTCAGACAAGATAAAATAAGGTAGCGGTGAGTTTTCATCATGGAAAGCCAGCTTCCGACCTGGTACCAGAATAGTAGTCAGGCCAGCTGAAGGCGATGCTCGAGCCAAATGCACTCAGGTCATCATTATAAAGAGGAAGGTGTTGGGTGGAAAAAGAGGGTGCTTACCATTGCAAAAGCGGGCTCAACGAAAGCTCGATTGAGGATATTTACCTCCATCCAGCATCGCCGAGCCTGCGGGCATACATCTTGCCCATGTCACCCATACCAATAAGACCGATGACAAAGTTATCCATCTTCCCCTCAAGATTGGACTTGGTTGAGGTAGCCATCGTGTTCGTATCTGTAGTGAAAGCTCAAATCCCACGCCAAATATCTCAATTCTGCGCGATATGGAAAAATCGGAGAAGTTCAAGTCATTGAAAATATTTATTGTTGTGATGGTTGTTGGAAAGAAAAGTTCAAGCTGTGCGACAGAAACTTTATGCCTTTTTTTGAGCCCCGTCACGCTAAGGAAACAATCAGCCTTTCCCTTTCCAGACTAGCGCGCACAAACTCGCCAAATTCTGGAATTCTCAATGTTCCTGCCTTTCATTTTGAAAACCTTCAGGCTCTTCCGAAAACTTCGTCGATCAATCATCCAGCAACTAACATCATGCCTCCAAAGAAAGCAGCCCGCCCAGCGCAAGAGAACATCAACCTTGGCCCAAGTGTCAGGGAAGGTAAGCCAGAATCCAATTCTTTGAGAAATTCGACACAGATTGCTAACCCCGCGGTTCAGGTGAACTCGTATTCGGTGTCGCCCGTATTTTCGCATCTTTCAACGATACTTTCGTCCATGTTACTGATCTTTCGTGCGTACTCCCCCCAAAAATTATACGCCAGGAAATTTGGCGTCATGAACATTATATAAAACGGCATGAAGGAGGTTCACAGGCTAACTTTTTGGTATTCCAGTGGCCGCGAAACCATCTGCCGTGTCACCGGTGGAATGAAGGTCAAGGCTGATCGTGACGAGTCTTCCCCATACGCTGCCATGTTGGCTGCTCAGGATGTTGCTGCCCGTTGCAAGGAATTGGGCATCACTGCTCTCCACATCAAGATCCGTGCTACCGGAGGTAAGAACACACCCATAGGACTCTATAATTACCGCGAGCAATACTAACGTTAATTCCTTACAGGTTCCGGAACCAAGACCCCAGGTCCAGGTGCTCAATCCGCTCTCCGTGCTCTTGCCCGTACCGGCATGAAGATTGGCCGTATTGAGGATGTTACCCCAACCCCATCCGACAGCACCCGTCGCAAGGGAGGTCGCCGTGGTCGTCGTTTGTAATTTTGTGGCAATTTTGGCTACATGCATGGAGCAGAATATGGGATTTATCGTGCAACTGATGACAACTACGCGGGGAACGGCTTTCACTGCCTGGTCTCCATATCTCAAATCTGGGCTTGGGTCGACCTTGTCTCATTTGTCACATAAGCGCTTTAGCAAAGTGCAGCCATGAATTTCACAGTTCTACAAATGACTTGAATCAATCCATGCCATGATTTTATGTAACAATTGTACTTGCTTGTATCTTTATTAACCGCAAATATGTATCGATATGTCCTTCGTGAATGCCAATCCTGATATACACCGCTTATTAATCCATGCTGGGATAGACCTCCTAGTGAGCTTAAATATACCACCCCGTTCCCGCATTACAAATCCATTGTACTCGTATATTACAGAACGACCAAACCAAGCCATCATATTTATCCATTCGTAAGGGCATCCATCCAGTGTTCATTAATTTCGTAGAAGAAAAGCATTAAATCGTAAGACCGTCAGTGTATGTAAGCTCTTGGCAAATCGAGAAGTCGAAACTGAGGTCGAAATTAAAAGGGGAGTTTAGTAATGCACTTGCTTTGTTCTGCTTAATCAAGAGAAAAAACAGACGGCTGAGAATTGAAAATTAGAAAGGAAGGTCGGGTTCTAAGATGCATTTGAAAGGGCCCAGGAAAAACCGGAGCGGCTGATGCGGTTGCTCTTGGATTTTTTGGCTTTGTCAGATTTGCGACCTAGAGATGCAACACGAGGTTTTTGGTTAGATGACTGGAGGATATGAAAGGGAAAAGAGGGTGTGGGAATAGGGGAGGGAGGGGGAGGGAGGAAGGAGGAGGAGAGTGAGGTTGCAGATGGAAGGAACTGTGTCGGATACAAATGGTGTTGGATAGGAAGTAATGTGAAGGGATTTAAGAGCACTGTGTGACATGATTTGATTTGCTACAAAATTATCCGGTCTTTCTCGAGTCCATCTTCATCGAGATCTACTATCATTGGCGCGTACTCACCTCGTTCGTCCTCGTCCTCGAAATCCTTGAGCTCTGCGTCGATGATCTCTCCATCCTCAAGCTGAAATTTTCCGGATCTGAGATAGTTTCCACGCAGGTCCCATCCCCATTTCCACAACCAGGACTCAAATGCCTCAAACGCCTTGCCAACTTCCTCCTGATCTCGAGTAATACTGGCACCATTAGACAGAAGTTGTTCATTCAAGCGAGATTTGAACTTTGTAAGAATCATCTTCAAATCATCACCAAGATGAGAATCATGATCGAAGATACTAGTGTCAAATCCTTCCTCATCATACATGAATTGGGCATGAACGGCGGTGATTACTTTACGGAAGAAGATCGGGTAATCCATTGAAAGGCGATATGCTCCGAAGAGTTTGCTGACGATAATGCTCCATTGCTCCATGCATGCGAGGTTGCCGAGAACCATGCCGGTGATATAACAGAATTGTAGCTCTCCAATGATCTCATCGGAGTCTTCGTAGGTGCAATGACCGATGGCGTCAACAATATAAGCCGTACTGTCGATTGCCTGCTCGGTGCGTTCGCGACCAGAAGACGATTCGGAAAAGGTACGAGATTCTCTTGGGAAAACGAAATTAAGAAAATCGTCCCCATCAAAATTCGTACTGCTGCCCTTTTCGTCCCGAGGAACGCTTGAGGTCTGGAGTTCTGTAGTCTTAACATCGTGACTTGACGAAACTTTCCAGCTGTTCCACTTTCCACCTGTAACTCTCTTAAGGTATGGGTGCTTGATACAGGATGTCAAGCGACGCCACATGTCGGTGCCATCTGTAGCGATGGGAGAGTCTGGTGAAGCAAGTGGGATTGGTGATGTTGAAACAGAGGCAGCTGAAGCTGAGGTCGCAACCGAAATATTGTTCAAGTATGATTCGAGAGCATTTGCAATTTCGGGTATGCTGGCCCTTTGAATACGTTTCTCAGCTTCGCTGAGCTCCTCCTCCAATGACTCATGGTAATTATCCCATCTTAAGACATGCGTCTCACCATACTCGTCCGAGGCTAGTTTCATGGACATAAACCAAAAACCAGTTCGAGAAGATCCATTACCTGATCCACCCCAAAAGAAATGAGCCCCAGCTGGAATGTGCTTAACACCTTCAAGGGTTCCCTCAGTTTTGATAGTGTAAGCTTTTGTGTCATATCCAAACATTGTACTGGCTGGAAGATTTCGAATAATAACAACGTCGCCATCCTTCAGAACTTCGTGATGCTCCACCCCATGCTCTCTAGTTGGCGATGGAGAATGAACCCTCAAGGACCCAAGGGGATAGCTGCCCACAACATTGACAGAGTGCACAGATTTCTCTGAATGCATTGATAGACCGGAAGAACGTGAATCGGATTTTGGAAGTGTAAATTTGTTGAACTCTCCAGCAATGCTCCCATTAAAGTCACCGCGCGTTCTTCTCTCGTCAGCTTCCTTGCCTTTCTCTTCATCATGAGCGATGGCAAGTGCGGAAAATCCTAGGCGAGGACTGCTGCTATTGGACTTGATTGACAATTGTCCGGAGAGAGCTGAGACATAGGACTTTGCTGTGGAAGGACTTCTTTGAAGAGAAATCTGATTTTGGATGAAGGAGGGGTCAGATTTGGTGATCGAGTCTTCGGTCTTGATTGTGCCAGTCGTTCCAGAGATTGACTCGTCTGCGGTTAATGGAGATAGATTGTTGGAAGCCAGCTCATCAATGAAAGTGTCTTCACTCATGTTTTCCATTGTAAGCGCTCAGCAACAAGGCAATTATTTGTGGGTTTGTGGCGTTGTAAATAAGGATTTTGGAAATTATGAGTGGATAGAGAGTATGGTTTTCTCAAAACAATTACCGAAGTAACCAAAAATAACAAATAAACAAGAATGAATCTGCGGCCGCTTCCTTCCGAGATAGACCAATTGGAGATTGTGAACCAAAATGTGTTTGTTGGTGTGAGGTTATGATGATGAGCAGGTAAAATACAAACTTGAAAGATTCACCATCTCCTTATGGAAATTAGCTCAGAATTTTATTTAAGATTAGGGCCCACTAGGACTTCTCATCTGTAACTTTTTCAGATGAATATGTCTGAAAATGATAACTTCATATTTCTCATGAAGCTATTCCAATATGTTGTCACTGAGAAACTTTTTTTGATATTGGTCGGCTTCGGGAAAACAGAGAGGCCGACCATCTCAAAAAGTGTCAGATCCAAACCTTGAGTTTCCTAGGTATCATTTCTCTTCAAAGGATTCAAATCATATCATATGTATTCAATCATCCGACAAAGCCAAAACATGATTTTGTGTGACAGAAAGTAAAAGAACAATATCATTTCTCATCGATTTATTGTATTCAAAAATATACCTAGTACCATGTTGCTAACAGATGTAATCTTCAAGCCGATACAACCAGGGTCACACGGGCCACATGGCGGAGAAGCCCCACATCTATTTGACATCAGCTCAAACATTTAAAGCTTCCATTCTATCAATTTGATATTCCTACAGAGCACGCCAAGAAAAGGCACTGCATGGAACTGCTCTTACTGCAACCTTGAGAGAATGAATTCTGGTCAATCAGATGTGCCAATTGCTTCTAACCAGCCAGGAACAAATTTAGGTTGGAATAGTACTCAACAGACAGCAGTTCCTGGGTCTGAAGAGGTATGGGACGAAGCAAAACTCGAGCAGGCGATGAAAACATTGAAGGAAATGCACATTCAAGTCAGTCACTTATTCAACGAGAATTTATGTTGACTATTCCCTAACATGGTCTTTAGTGTCGCAATCTACGATCCACAATTCCAAGACTGCTTACCCCTTTGGCAACCAAGCAACAGTCACGTACGTTCCCACTCTGCAGCCTCAAGAGCCACCCCAAGCTCCCGGAAGTCAGTAGCTGATCAATATAACCAGCCGAACAGCTCTTTTCGTCCTTTCAGCAAGCCGCGACCACTTCAAATAAAGAAGTACGAGAATTCATACGTCTGATGAACGACGAGGAAAGTGTCAAGCTCTTTGAGCATGCGAAAGAGAGTCGAGCCGAGAATCCACATGGGATAAAACCCTGGAGAGTCACACAACATCCTGATTGGCTTGATAGGGATACATGATACCTTCAACACGATAATACGTTGCGTTATGTTCAGACGGCGCAATGTGTTATAGGATCTAGGCGCTTTCGAGGACTTTTAGCTAGAGAGCGGTTTTTGGATATCCAGTATTAGGCGCTTGGGGATTTGGGTAAACATATCATAATTGGGAATGTTCGGAAAACATATATTACGGTATCCTGACAAGCTCAAGCGTAACAATACCGAGGTTTTTTTGCTGCTTCCCTATCGGCATTCCCAAGGCTTGATTCTCCTTCCCCACTTCTAGCATCGAGTGCACAGGAACTGTTCAGGGAAAATCTTGAAAACCGCTTTTGATATGCCCAATAGCGGCTGATATCTCTTGATGACCACTCATATAATCACGAGCTCAGGCCCCATCGACCTCGCCGTACGCATAAGCCATATGTGTTACAATCAACGTGCCAGAAGTCGGGGCGGAAGGAATCAATAGGAGACATGCAAAAGAAATTTACTCATTGATATATGACATATGTATAGGTTTTGATATCAAGTCACGGGAGGTGTTATATTATCAAAGATTTAAACACTTAAATGGCATATGCTCTAAGCAAAATGGCAAACCTTGAAAGGTCTGTATGATCTAGAATGTAAACGGTGGATATTCATATGGAAGAATTTGACAATGCATCGAAATTCTTTCAAGGTTCAGAACAATGTGCTAGCTAAACGCATGCCGATTGCTCATTGGCCTACAACATTCTCCCGATATTGAAATCAGTGTCGGTGTCCTCAACCAACGCAAAAATAGAGTGATTAGTATAGAATGAAATTTACAAATAATCATAAATCTTCATTCCTTTTTATCTCAATAATTTGATTCACCGACTCCAATTGATGTAAACTTGCTATTCCAAAAGCTATTTATTGTTTTGTTAGGGCAAGAGCAGTTTTGGTACAAAAAACGTCGCTTAAATTTTTCCAACTTTTTCCCCGCCAAATATTCCGCTAGGGACCAGCAACCTCAATTTTTGAAAAAATTGAGGCCATTTATCACCTTTAATCACCACTCACAAACCGTCAACATGTCTCGATTTTTCCGTGGCGACAGTTCTAGCGAGAGCAGCTCCGACGAGGAGGAGGATCTCTACTCCGATGACGAAGAGGTTCAAAAGCAGCCTGAAGCAGAATCAGCGGAAGAAGATTCAGAGGGGGACGATGACGACGACGACTCTGATTCCAGCAGTGATGATGGAGCTGGCAAAAAAACCGGCGCAAATGCTTTCTTGAAAGACGATTCCGATTCTGAGAGTGAGAGCAGCGGAGATGAGGGAATAAAGGTCGTGAAGTCTGCGAAGAATAAGCGTTTCGAAGAACTTGAAGCAACCGCAAAAGCCATCGAGAATGGAGAGAAGATCAACGATTGGGGATCCATCTCGGCAGGTCAGTAGATTATATTCAACAAATGTACTCGGCCATAGCCAACTAATGTACTGCAGAATTCGACAAGCTCAACCGACAAGTCGTCAAACTCGTACAATCTGGCACAACCCCAAAGGTCTACATTAGAGCTATCGCAGAACTGGAGGATTTCATGAACGAGACCTTAGCAAAGCAAAAGGTGTCGCTCAAAAAAATGAACGCAACCAATTCTCGAGGTTTGAATGCTGTCAAACAGAAGGTAAAGAAGAACAATAAGGATTACCAAACGGATATCGACTCCTTCAGGGCAGACAAGGATGCCTACATGGAGTCTGACGATGAAGAAGTTGTGGCACCCAAACCGAAGAAGGCGAAGTTCTCGGCTGCAGACCTAAACGTTGCATTCGATGATGATGATGAAGGGTTTGCGACTGTTGGTAAGGGCGGGCGAACGCTCCAATTCACACCAGAGAGTATCCTCAAGCACCTGAGGACCATCGTGGAGTCAAGAGGAAAGAAGAACACCGACCGCACCGAACAAATTAAGATCATGGAGAAATTATATGAAGTTGCAACTACCCCTTATCAACGCATTCGAGTTCTTTTGACCCTTATTTACACGAGATTCGATATGACCACTGGTACTCAAACTTTCATGTCTCAAGAGCAATGGAAGGCAGCAGAGAAAGAGTTTGGTACTCTATTGAGTGTGCTCGAGACAAATCGGGAATTGGTGGTTGTAGAGAATGCGGAAGAATGGGAGGATGACGATAAGCCACCTACTGCTGCTGAAGGTGAAAAGCTCAAGATTCGAGGAACGATCGTTTCCTATGTTGAGAGACTCGATGACGAGCTTACAAGATCACTCCAGCACATTGATCCTCACACCGCTGAATACATCGAACGCCTTTGTGACGAGAGTGCCCTCTACAATAACATTGTCAGAACCATGTTGTACAACGAGGAAATTGGCAAAGAAGCGAGCTTGGGCGCACCCCAAGACCACCTGAACAGAATAGTCATGAGAAGACTGGAACACGTATACTTCAAGGTTTGTAATATTCAACTTTCTCGGAATCTCTACTTATTCGTTTATAGCCATCCGCGGTCATCAAGATCCTCGACGAGAACTGCTGGAAAGCAATTCCTGCAGAGCTCGATTCCGCCATCACACCACGCGGTTCTGTTCAAGATGCTAATGCTTTGGTCAATACCCTCTGCAATTATCTCTTCATCAACACTTCAGAGAATGAGGGCATCATAAAAGCACGGGCTATGCTTTGCCAGATTTATTTCGAAGCTCTACACGACAACTACTATAACGCTCGTGATATGATGCTTATGTCCCATTTGCAAGAGACCATCAATGCATTCGATGTTCACAGCCAGATCTTATTCAACCGTACCCTCGTTCAAGTTGGTCTCTGTGCTTTCCGAGCTGGTTTGGTGTATGAAGCTCAAACTACCCTCCAAGAAATTTGCGGTAGTGGCCGTCAAAAGGAATTACTCGCCCAAGGTGTCATGATCCAGAGATATAATCAAGTCTCCCCAGATCAAGAACGCGCCGAAAAACAACGTCAACTTCCATTCCATATGCACATCAACCTCGAGCTTCTTGAATGCGTCTACCTCACCTGCAGTATGCTTCTCGAAATTCCTCTATTTGCACAAACTGGTTCATCTCCCGACATCAAGAAGAGAGTCATCAGCAAGACATACAGACGTATGCTCGAATATCATGAGCGTCAAATCTTTACTGGACCTCCTGAAAACACCAGAGATCATGTCATGCAAGCATCCAAGGCTTTGGCTCAGGGTGAATGGAAAAAGGCCACCGATTACATACACTCCATCAAGATCTGGGAACTCATGTCCAAGCCTGAGGAGATCAAGGCAATGCTCTCAGCACAAATTCAAGAAGAGGGTCTCCGAACATACCTTTTCACCTACGCTCCTTATTACGACACTTTATCCGTCAACCGACTCTCGTCAATGTTTGACCTCTCCGACCAAAAGGTCGCTGCTATTGTTAGCAAGATGATCAGCCACGAGGAACTTGCAGCCGCACTAGACCAAGTCAACTCCTCGATTATCTTCAGAAAGGGTGTCGAGTTGAGCAGACTCCAGAGCTTGGCATTGAGCCTCAGCGACAAAGCTAGTAGTTTGATTGAAAGCAACGAGCGCACGCTCGAGACAAGAACACAAGGTACAGCCAATGCTTTCGAACGTCAAGGTGGCCGGGGTGGACGTGGTGGTAACAGAGGAGGTCGTGGTGGTAACCGTGGTGGTCGTGGTGGTATCTCCAATGCTCCAAGGCAAGCTGGTGGAACACAGTTCACTGGTGGTGCTTTGGGAGCTGCGGTTGGTAGCAGAGCTTAGATAGAAATGGATGGATGTATTAATGCATTGGGAATGGGTTGCTTACAGCGCTGTAATTACCCTAAGGCGTTTTAATGTAGGGCTTAGGAAAAGCTAGGTTCGTGCTCTACGAAGACAAAAGATCGAAGATTTCAGTGTTCTGATGGTGCATCTACTGAAATGTTGTAGTGAGATACTGTTATGCAAATGAAGTCTTGCTTGAAGTGGTTAAATGAGATCATGTTGGAGTTTCTCCAGAAGTATTCTCAATATATACAAGTATTTCAAATTGCAATATCTGACAATATCTGTTTCAAGGAGGTGCAAATGGCAAGTCTTTTCATTTCTAATTTACTTCTCTCTCTCGTTTTCGCACTCTCTCCATCCATTCACCCATTCCATCATTTTCCATCCCAAAAAAGCAACGCAGACAAAATCAAATCCAAATCCAAATCCAAATCCAAAACAAATCCTTGCGGTAAATAAAATAAGTAAAGAGCACAACACAAGGGTCTTGTGGAGTCGAGCATATTCTCGAAGTCTGTCTCCCTCGATATTTATGATGGGGCTGGTGTGAAGGGGAGGAGATGAAGGGTACGAGGGTGAGGGTGAGGTGAGTAGTAGGTGGTTTAGGGAGGGTAGCGGACGAGGAGGTGAGGAGGTTTGCGAGATAGATTTAATTTAGGAAAATGTACCAAGGGCATACACGGTATTGGGACCCTCATCTTGGAATTTGGAGGAGGCTGCCACGCCGCTGTAACCACTAGTGGGGTGTTAGCTTCTTTTCATTCTTTCCATGTCTTTCCTTTCTCATTCTCTTGCGTTTTGAGGAAGGGCAAATGATCAAGGTCAAGATTCAAGAATGGGTGAGAAAAAAAAGAACATACAAGAATGCATCCTGTCCCTTGACAGTATCAACAACAGTCATGACGGCAAAATCACCGTTGGGGTTGTAGCCCCAGTTTACTTGCCAGGTGGGGGCGCCGGTGCAGGCGAGGGCGGAGTAGGAGTGCGCTTGGGGGAGGGTGGCGGTGTCGTTGTAGAGGCAGGGGACTGGGGGTGGGTTAGTGGGGGAGAGGGATGAAAGGAAAGAAGGGGAGGGGAGGGGAGGGGATGGATTGTGGAAATGTATATGGGGAACATACTATTGACAATAGAACCACTGCTGGGAATCACACTAATGGTGAAATTGTATGTGCAGATCGTGGTGAAGCATGCTAAATTTCCACATGATTAGCTAATTGATATATTTCTCTATCCATCCAATCCATCTCATTCATCTCATTCATCTCAACCATTCAATATATTCATTCCCTTCATCCTCAAACTCACGAACTCGAAAAAATACAGGGAGAGAAGAAAAAAGAAAAGAAACACTCACGTCTAGTAAAATTCGACACTTTCCACTGCACATCGGGGATCGAAGATGTAGATGCAGAACCACGTTTTTCAATCCCAGCACGAGCACTAGCATCGGTGGTTGGGATGGATATAGAGAATGCAGTTGCTGCGAGAGTGGTGAGGAGGAGGAGGGGGGTGGCGAACATGGTTGATTGGTTGATTGATTAGGTGTTCTTTGGGTGTTCTTTGGGGAGAGTTGAGGATGGGATCTGGGGGTTTTTTGTGTTGTATTATATTGTTGGAGATAGAGATGGAGAATAAGATGAAGATGTTCACTGAAGATGTATCCTAGAAGAAAAAGGACGAATCCACAAGTCTTTATAGAAGATCCGATGGAAGTTCTATCAGATATCACACTACACCATATCACACCACACAATGACATGACATGCCATGACATAGGTACACATAGTGAACCAATTCCATGGAAAATCCAAATGCTACCTCCCAGAACCCCCATTCGACAGATCGAAGATCATCAGACTTCCCCCTCGTATCCATCTGTACGCCTCGCTTGTATCGGTATCGGTATCGGTATCGGTATCGGTAGCGGTATCCCGTCAAACCTCACTTCTCCTTTTCTCTCTTTCTCTCTTTCTTCCTCTCATCCCCTTATACAGTCGTACCACCAGCACTACCACCAGAGCCAGAATCAGAACACCATACCGTACCGTACCGTACCGTACCGTACCGTACCCGTATCAACACTTACCCATCCATCATATTTGCAACCGTTTTCGTCATATCATGCATGTATGCATATGTACCCAACAAGTACAAAACCCATTCTATACGAGCGCCATGTAACTTTCCCCGCGCCCATCCCATCTCATGTTCTTTTGTCTCCTCTAACTTCTTAACGGCCCGATCGATCATGTAATAGTCCGATCGTGTACCGCTATGCTTGTTTTGTCATATACTTGGGTACATACACATACATACATAGCGGTCAGGATGACTTTATTAGTCAAGTAAGGTATGTGTTGTACATGTATAATACGCATATGTACATACATACTTTATCAAGATCTACATGCATGTACATATCTTGGATGGATGTGTAGATCCATACATATATGTCTACCTCATTACACCACAAATACCACCCTCCCCGGGCACCCCGGCCCTCCCCCCTCTTCCCCTCTTCCCCACAACACCATATAGTAACACTCCAACAAAAACCGAATTTTCTACCCTCCGCTACGTAGAAGAGGATAGAGAAACATTTCTGATTCTGAATAGTATGCCGTACCGGTCGGTGTAACACTCACTCTTGTACCCACCACCATCCTGATAACCAGTATCATATCCTATCCATATTTATACTCACGCATCCACATCCATATGCACTCACACGGGGAAAGAAAAATCCGGGGAAGAGGTCTATTATACAGTAAGTAAGTAAGTAACATAACATTACATGCATATAACACTACATACAAGTGACACTATACCATAATCGTATAATTAAGACACACAATATAACACAACACACATCATATAATGTAACACAAACGACCAGTACTGTAACAAAACAAGATAAAGTAACAAGGTAACCAGAAAAGTACAACAAGATACCATACTATACCATACCATACCATACAAGATAATGCGATGATGATGATGATGATGATGATGATGATGATGATGATGATGATGATGATGATGATGATGATGAGAAAAGATGAGAAAGGAATAATCAAGGGGCAAGTAAAATATTGTGCAGATTTGCAGGTTTGCAGATACGTTGAGTCGATTCGTGAGAGGTGATGATTGATGATGTTGAATATCATATCATATCATATCTACTACACTATACTACAGTATAATACAGTACATACCGGTACAGTACCTTGATATTCAAATTTTCCATGGAATAATTCCTTCGGAATCGGGGTTAAAATGTCTTTTGGAAATTTTTATTTCATTTACTTCACGGTTTGATATCTGGGAACAGAACATGAGCTATATAGATTTTCGGTAGAGTTTTCCTTCGGAATCGGGTTTGAATGTCTTTGGGAGATCTACCTCCAATTTACTTCACGGTTTGGCATCATGAAACATGAGCTTTGTAGTTTATGTAAATTACTTTGTGTTTATTTATTCATCTATGATGATAATCATCTGTATCCCTGATATTCTGTCTGTTACGCCGCGTTGTACCATAATACCATAATACCATATGGCCATACGATGGATATCTTCCAACGCCCGTCGCCCCAATGCTGTGTAAAAATTCTATGTACAAAAGGTATTATATCGTTCCCCTGTTCTCTCTAGATATTTCCGCCCCTGTCCATAACGCCTTGGTAAACCTCATGAAACGTCTAATCATGTCCTATTTGAATTCATCTCTCAATACCCACTTGGCTCTCATCCTACTATTCGTACCCTGCTCACAAATTGCAACTTCAGTCAACGTGTGCTTAAATTGAGCAGTTACTCGATCTGAAGTACAATATCGATCAAAGTGATTGACCACCGACTGACTCGGTACCGAACCGCCCATTCTCTTAATAAATTCAACAATCATTTTGGCAAAGTCGTGACGTTGATGTCCGACTGGACGATCTGGAGTCGCAGTGCGTGAGCTACCCGAGCTGGAAGGTTGATTAAGACCTTGTCTGTTCGCAAGACTCGATAGAACACTTGATGAGCTTGGTCCTGCACCGCGTCGAACATTAGTTGGTCTGCCAGCAGAGCCATATTCTCCAGTCCAGGTAACGGTTCCTGGGGCAATACTTCTTGCGGCTTCCCCAGCACGTCGCAGTGCGGTAGCAGACTCAGCGGCGATTCTTTTGGCCTCGCGCTCAATCATTCCACGATCGGCCGCGATCTTTCTCTTTCCGTTAATGATCTGATCGTGCTCAAGTGCGCTATGAACTCCAGAGCGGGCAAAGATACCTTCCATTAACCTGGACTCATCGTTGGACTCTTTCTCTTTCTCCTCGGAAGGGTCGTTGAATTGCTCAAGCTCAGCAACTCCCGCCAGATTGCGAAGATCAGATTCCGAATCACCTTGTGTTGAAGGACTAGAAGTTTTGCTGAATTGAACCTCTGTGCCTTTGAACATCTCACCCGTCTCAGTAGTTCCACCTTCTTGGTCACCAAGGGTGAAAAGATCATAGAGATCCTTCATGGCGAAAGTTTGTCGCTGCTTCGGATCCTTAAGAATTTTGTTGGTCAGGAATTGCTTGAAAATTTGTCGATGGTAAATTTTCTCTTCGATCGTGCCGGCAGTCATAAGTCGATATATCGTGACCTCTTTCTTTTGACCGAGACGCCAAGCACGTTCACGAGCTTGTACATCTGTGGATGGATTCCAATCCGGATCAAAGATGATAACCCGATTTGCCCCAGTGAGATTAACGCCAAGGCCACCAACTTTAGTGGTGAGGAGAAAGACATGTATATCAGGATCATTATTGAACTGATCGACGAGAGTCTGTCTGTCTTTAATAGCTGTACCACCATCCATACGAAGGTAGTTGAATCCACCAAGTTTCTTGACAAACTCCTCAAGTATATCAAGCATTTGAACACCCTGACTAAAGAGTAGGGTCTTATGCCCATAGCCCTTCCACATTTGCAAAAGTGCTTTCACGACTTGCATCTTCCCAGACTTGTTTCCATTGCCCCACTTGTAATCTGGTCTAGTCTTCAATCGTTTATCCAGAAGATCTGGATGATTGCAGATCTTGCGCAAGATATCAATGCCGTAAAGTGATTGTCGACTGTGGTTCAAGATTGACTTCATATCATCAGACGAAAGGAACATCTCATATGCATCTCTTTGAGGTCTCGTAAGCTTGCAGAATAAGACCTGCTCGCTCTTCTTTGGTAGATCAGCCGCAACATCGACCTTCAATCTTTGCAAGAGGTATGGACTGATAGCGTCTTTCAGAGTCTCGGCACATTTAGTTGCCGTAAGAACTTGCAAATTGGTTGCGTTGGCGTAGCCTCCAATTTTAATAGGTACTTCAAATGATTGTCGGAAGTTGACTAGAGTGCCTAAACGCATAGGGAAGACGAAGTCAAAGAGTGACCATAACTCAATCAGTCCATTCTGCATGGGAGTACCCGAAAGAATAACACGATTGGGTGTTCGTAGTTCTTTGCAGTAGATTGTGACAGCAGTGTTGGGGTTTCGGATTTTGTGTCCTTCATCCAACACAGCATAATCCCAGTCGACATTGATGAGAGTATCGCTATAAGTCTGCAGGCCGGCATATGTAGTGACCAGTACGTGGCCATGCTTGACAACACGATCGACAATTTTCTGAGCAAGCTTTTGAGACTTGGGAGCTTTCTTGGTGGGTTGTCCGTATAAAATTTCATCCTCTTCGTCTTCTAATCTGCCCTCGTTCTTCATGTTGAGCATACCGCTTCCAGAGCTGTGCAGGATTGAAACTCGCAAGGCCGGCCACCATCGATGAAACTCGTTGACCCATTGTCGAAGAACAGTTGCAGGAGCAACGACGATAATAGGCTTGGTAAGCTTTTTACTGTAATGTAAAGCGGCCAAAAAAGATATGATCTGAATGGTCTTCCCAAGACCCATCTCATCTCCGATAATCCCACCAACTTGTTGATTGTAAAGTTCTGACAACCATTGAACACCGGTCTTTTGATAGTCAAAGAGTGCAGGAAAAATATCGCCAGGTAGCTTCAAACCATTTTCGAATTGGTGATCAGGTTGTCCTGGGCATGGTTTGAACCATTCCTTCTCCCACGAATTTTCCGCAGCTGCGTCCTCTTCGTTTTCGGGGTTGTGTTCTAAATGCTGTCGTCGTGCAGCGCTTCGTTTCCCCACCCAGCTTGCAAGACGTGCTTGGTACATGTCCTCATTTCCATCATCAATGCCGGCCAAGCTTTGTGCCTCGTCTGTTCGAGCGCTGCCCGGCTTAGACCTCTTCTTTGTCGAAGTACGGGCTGTCATGAGCGCATCTTCCTCATCTTCTTCATTTTCGTCGTCTAATTCCTCCACTTCGTCGGCTAAATGTTCAGGGGTAAAAGCATCATCGTCTGCTGAAGATGAACGAGCAGGAGGTGACACATCTGTGGATGCACTATTGACGAGTCTTCTCTTCTTTCGAGGACGAAGACCAAATTCATCCTCAGTGGTATTGGTTGTGTTATCCGAGACATCTCCGAAGCCTGGTAGTCGAAGGTTTTGATGGGATCTAGGCTCCGCTTCCGCATTTCCTGGTTCACTGACACCTCCTTTATTTTCTGCATCCATTAACGCATCAGTGAGTGCTGATTGAACAAGGTCCGTAGCTGCATCCGAGGTTCGCTGGAAAGGTGTAATTTTGCCTGTGCGGATCAGGAATTCCCTTTGGCTCTCATTGGGCATTCGTCTGCTTCCACCAACAGCATCAGCTTCGGGGTGGTTGTCGTCGTACTGATGTCTTTCGCCGATACGCTTCTGTATGTCTGTAATATCCTTCTTGAAATCAGAGATCTCGGCTCTGATTCTTGAGATCTCGTCCGCGCAACGCTGGCGCATCAATGGATTGTTCGAAAGTGTGTGGAGGCGGCGTTCTTGGATGTTCTTCTGACTCTCGAGTTTCTCAATACTGCTCTTAACTTTCTCAATGCGCTTCTGATCTCGCTGATCTTCTTGTTCAATCATCACCAGGTTGGCTTGATTTGTAATATCCCGTTCGAGGTCATCCTGGTTGCGAACATTTTCGGTCAAGCCGGCTAGAGCACTGGCTTCATCTTGAAGTTGAATTTTTATATTTGCGTCGTTATCGCTGAGAAGTGCTTCATCAGCAATGACTGCTGCAGCTTCTTCGATGGTATCGGTATGTTCTCGGTGAAGTCTGACGTTGTGAGGAGGTGGAGAGTTGCTTTCAGATTTAATATGAATTGAATGATGGTGAGCATCGCGAGGCTCAACAGATGAATCCATATTGCATGTTCATCAAATAAATGTTGATGAAGCTGGGAAGAATGGAAATTATTGTAGAAGTGAAGAAAGTAAAATGTGTATCAAAATTGGAAAAATTAATTAGATCTTCGAAGGTGAAAGTGAGGTTAAAGCCTTGAAGGTGAAGGGTGAAGGTGAACCACGATTGAGGAGGCGAGTGAGTATCTGAAGTGAAGTACTACTATCTGAGGTAGATTATAGAAGAAAATGAAGTCGAACTTCTGCGGAAAGTATTAAAGTTTATTATTAATCTACTCGTAAATTTTACCGTTTTATATACCGTTTTTATATATAGTTTTATACACCTTTTTCTGTATGCATACAATATTTATGAAGGTGCATCACTTATCTTTGAAACTTGGGGGGTAATTATTTATATGATAACAAGTAAGACATGATCAGATCAATTAGAACTCAATGCATTTTTGAGATGATTTCTCCTGCAAAACATCTATCAAATACACGCAAAAGGTACGGGTTTCATATGAAGGGAAGGTACGAATGACAGTAACAGTAATATCGAGCAAACTATTATTTGTTTGTGACTTGATATAAAAAACGATTGTACTCTGGTTTCAAACGAACAAAGACGATGGATGATGTGATTCTTTCATCATGAAGATTACCCTTCGTATTTGGCAAATCAATCTAGCTAGATATTTACTCGAGTAACCCTTTCAAACCCAACATCAGCTATAATAATATACGTGTATACTAATACTAGTAATAAATATAATGTATTCTCATTCAGACTTTTTTATTCTTTTATTCTCTTTATTTAAATTTACTCGTATCCGTAGTTGGATTGGGCAACAATAATTACCATAAAACGTTTCCTAAGCTCGCTACTCTTTTTAGTTTACAATCACATCACTCCAATCCCCCGGCAACGAGCGATGGATGGATGTCCTGTGCTCTGTGAATCCATCAATTCTTAGCCTCCAGAAACAACACCTCCCTCCATTTCACCAAGTGAATTATCTCTACAACTCCAAATCTCTCAACTTATTCTCTTCGTTCACCATGATATGTTGACTAGTAGTATTTGGTATTTCATAGGCTTTTTCTGCCTCTTTTTAAAAGAGGTTTGATTGGTTTTATTGCGACGCGTTCCCCACTGCTTCCTGGTGGCAGACCTTTTCGACAACAGCGTGCGACATATCGTATCTGCTTTCTTTTTAGTATTATTACTTCAGAGGTCGACAATCGTGCCCAATATCTTCAGAATCCCCCACTCAAAATCTCGAACATCTCCACTGTCTCGCCAAAATGGACCAGTGGCAGAATTACTCTGATTCATCGGGTTCTGCAAGAAGATACAATGGGAACCCCCCACCAGCTCATTCTCAAATGGCTAGAGATTATAACGGGAACCCCCAAACCCAACCTCCAACCGCTTTTACATACGATCAATATCAAGGAGGTTTAGGATCACATCCTCAATCTCTAGCAACTTCTCCTGCTACTCCGCAAATGACGGATGGAAATGGAGATGTGGCTATGCAAGACTCTGGAGATCAATATAATATGAAATATCCAATGCGCCCTCATCATCAACAGCACCTTTCAGGCAATCAAAGATTATCTCATCAATCGCCACAAGAACCATCCGCGGCTGCTCAACGTTATTCTCCAATGGAGACTTTATCGCCAATATCGCCATATGGCGCGACGCAACAGCCAAACTCAAATCAGTACATGTCACCACCCGGGGCTGGAAGCAGACAATCTCCTCCAAAGAATACAGCATACTCTTCCCCAAATTCGTATTATCCAAGCCGTCAACAATTACCACCTCTCCAGCCGTATGCGTCTAATTCCAACAATGAATCATACCCGACCTCTGCGACCCAGCAGCTGAACGCTATGTTTGGTAATGATCCGAATCCTCCTCGACGGCCAGTATCTCAGTCAGCGCAAGGTCCACCTGGAAGAGGGCCAGTTCCTGAATTCACAAAAATTCGGTCCATGTCTGATCTACAACCAAAGCTTAATGCGCAACCGGCTTTTCGCAGAGCTAATCCAGAAGGCGGATTCATAAGTGTAAGCTTGATCATTATGCGCAATATGATTCTAATTTGTGCTAATCATTCCCGTTTCAGCCCCTTCAAGCTCTCACGAGCCATCTCCCCTCTACCTATCGGATATGCAACCCTAGCTTCAAATACGAATCTTCGCGGAATCCTCGCAGAGTGCTCACAAAACCAAGTAAAGGTGTCAAGAATGATGGCTTCGATAACGAAGATAGCGACTATATACTTTATGTGAATGATATTCTCGGGTCTGAGGAAACTACTCATAAGTATGTTTCGAGGTTGATATGCCTTAAGGTTCAAGGAAACAATTCTCTTGCTAACATGTTCTGCAGAAATCGCTATCTTATTCTAGATGTTCTTGGCCAAGGAACTTTTGGACAAGTTGTCAAGTGTCAGAATCTGAAGACCCAGGAAGTCGTCGCGGTAAAGGTGGTGAAGAACAGGACTGCGTACTTTAATCAGAGTATGATGGAGGTTTCTGTTCTAGATTTGGTAAGCTTTATCCATGAAACCGATTTCCCCCATTCGCTGACCCACCATTCTTTTCTTGCAGCTCAACACCAAGCTCGATAAGAACGATGATCATCACCTCCTTCGGCTCAAAGATACATTTATCCATCGCCAACATCTCTGTCTGGTTTTCGAATTACTGAGTGTAAATTTGTATGAACTGATCAAGCAAAATCAGTTCAGAGGTTTGAGTACCACTCTTGTGCGAGTCTTTGCGCAACAACTTTTGACTGGACTGAGCTTGTTGAACAAAGCTCGGCTTATTCATTGTGACTTGAAGCCGGAAAATATCCTGCTCAAGAATCTTGAGAGCCCCATTATCAAGATTATCGATTTCGGATCAGCTTGCGACGAACGTCAAACAGTATATACATACATCCAGTCGAGATTTTACAGATCCCCTGAAGTGTTACTCGGCCTGCCATATTCATCAGCTATCGATATGTGGTCGCTGGGCTGTATCGTTGTAGAGTTGTTCTTGGGTCTTCCCCTATTCCCTGGATCCTCGGAGTATAACCAAGTCTCCCGTATTGTAGAGATGCTGGGAGATCCACCAAATTGGATGCTTGAGATGGGCAAACAGTCTGGGGACTTCTTCGAGAAGAGGCATGATGTAGATGATTATGGCAGAAGAACATATCATCTCAAATCTATGGAACAGTATTCCCGCGAGCATGGATCGAAGGAGCAACCAAGTAAAAAATACTTTCAAGCTACCACACTCCCGGAAATTATTCGTTCATACGCGATGCCGCGAAAAAACATGAAAGCAAGCGAAATTGAGCGAGGTAAGATGAGTTCCTATGCGTGTTAAGCCTTGCTAACATCAATATCTAGAAATGAACAACCGGGTTGCTTTCATTGACTTCGTTCGGGGCTTACTCAATATCAACCCACTGGAGCGCTGGTCTCCACAACAGGCCAAACTACATCCGTTTATCACTCAACAAAAGTTCACAGGTCCATTCGTTCCCCCAATGAATCTCAAGTCGAGTACTATCAATAGATCTCCCGCCCCAGGAACCACGCAACAACAACAGGCCGAAGCTTTGAGCAAGCAACGAGCACAGGCTGCACAGGCTCAGGCCCATTCACAAGCTCAGTCTGCCGCTCACGTATCGTATAATAATCCGAATGTGCCGGTCAACTCATATGGCCAAGTTCCACAAACCCAACAGCACCCACCGATGTACAATAACAACAATATGTACACGCCAAACTCTAACCACCAGGCTGCTCACCAAGTTTCACACCAGGCCGCTCCACCCCCATATCCCACACAGCAAGGTTATAACCAGATGGGGATGATGGGGCAACCACCGGCACAGATGCCACCCGCGCAATACGGACCTGGACCTTCACAACAGCAACAACCAAGTCTCTATCAACAAGCCACTGTGAGATCTGGAAGGCAACGTGCTTCGACAATGGAAGTTCAGCAGGGCGGTATACCTGTGACGATACAAAGGGTTGCTAGTCATCTTGATCCTAGTCAGCCTATTCGTTTACAGCCTAGTCCTGCATACTATCCACCCCCACCTGATGGAGCCCCTGATGCAAATCCTGGTAGTGCACGGAGAAGAGGGAGCAGAGCTGCCCAAGGTGGACAAGCACCTACCAGAAATCGAGACTTCATCCGAAATCTGGAAGATCGAACATTGGAAGAAGGATTCATGGGTCAAAGCCAATGGCACTGAGCTCCACAACTCTGAAGTTGTAAAGATGAGCAGAACGTTCGAAGACCAGCGACAGCGAATCACGCTAAAATCATAGTCTAGCAATGCCAACTAAAGCTTGGGAGCTTTGCGCTGCTAGTGTTCATATTATTCTTCGCGCATTATACGATGGGCGTGTGTTGTCATAGGGTCCGGGAAAATTTGAATCATGATACCCAAAGGTGGGGCTTTTCTACGAATATCATTGTAGGGTGGGAGCTGAGGTTTTCGACAAAGTGGCGAGTTCTGCAACGAGATGAGGAATGCATAATGGAAAGAAGGGGGGAGGGATCACATGGAACGAAATGGCGAAGTTCTTATCAGACATCTTCGAAGAATATTAGGGGGGGGTGTACGCGGGGTCTTTTGCTAGTGTGGGGATTGCATTCGAGTTCGTATCATGTAAGCTATAAGTTATTGCATGGATGGATGGATCAAAGACGAGAGCGAGCTAGGTATGCAATGGAAAGTGGAGAAATAAAGGTGCGCAGAGCACGCCGGATTTTCTCAGTTTCTTGGTCCTTGGATGATGTGATGTTTTGGAAGTGTACTTGTAAAGTGATGTGATATCTCGTTGCTTGTGTGCTAAATAAGTAACTACTAACTAGGCTTTGCTATTGTGTGTTACCAAAGTATACTCGAGTATATATACCTAGTTTTCCTTCCCATCCTTCCCTCAACACAATACCCATACAAGGTTCGTAGAGGATTTTTGCCGCTGGAGCCAAAAGGGTCAATTGTATTGCGAGGTAATGTAATGTAATGATGATGGTAATTACGCTGTTGTTGTTGTTGTTGTTGTATGTATGTAGAGAGTATGTACAATGTATGTGTGTGTGTAGGTACATATCCTTTCCTGAAACCCAAATAAATGCTCCACTCCAAAACACCAAATTCTATCTTGTACCGCTATGACTAATGTCGACATTTGAAAAAATGTCTGTATTCCCAGAATCAAAAGTGCTGATTTACCACCCCCTCCTCCCCTTACTCCGCAACCAAAGGCTCTGCCACCAAACCCCTCACCAATTTCAAAACTTCATCTTCGCCCCCTTCCTGACGTTCCTTCTCCCATTTCGCAAACGCATCCCACCACCAGCTGTGCGTCACCCCATCATTTCCCTTGTACCCGGCGATTCCAGACGCGGGGACGCGCGCCGTCCACGGCTTATCAACAATATAGTGCAAGCCGCGCACGTCTTCGTCGCGCCACATTTCCGGGTGCCAATAGCGCCATGTTTTCAAGGCGTTCCATTTCCAGCCGACGCTGATCCAGCGGTCTCTCCACCATTCGGTGAGGAAGTCCTGGTCGGGGAATTGGTATGTGTCGAGGGCGGCTCGGTTTGAGCTAATGAAGCGCCACATGTCGTTCCAGGTTTCGACGCTGGGTTCGAAGACAAAGAGCCCGCTGTTGAGCAGCGTGTGCGTGGGGGGTCCGGTGCCTGAGGCGGGCACGGATTGGACGTTCTCTTCGGGAAGGCGGTTGGTGCGGAGCACGTTGCGGAGGGGGAGGGCGGTGCTGGGGGAGGATGTGTAGGCGCAGTTTTGGTGGGTCCAGGTTGAGGGGGCCCAATTGTCGTTTTCGAGGTTGCATACGCAGACGTGGTTTGCGGCTAGTCTTTTTCCCTTCTCGCCTTGGACGCCGGGGATAGATAGGACGACGTTGAGGAGGAGCTCGTCCATGGATCCCATGATCATTATGTCGGCGTCGAGAAAACAGATGCGTTCCCAGCCGTCGCGGTAGAGGGAGAAGACTTGAAGCTTGGTCCATGTGTGGGCGAAGCGGGGAGCGACCCCGAAACTCTGGCTAATGGTCAGAAGAGTGGTTTCTTGGAGAATTATGTTGGAGTGCTTGGCTTCGACCTCGAGGATCGGTATGTAGTGTGCTGGTAGACCGGTGTAGAGGAGGATGAGTGGAAATTGCGAACCGTGGAGTCGGAGAGTGTGCGCGAGAAGGAGAGCGCCTGGAAGGTAGGAGGGAGAGGTTATGAGGGTTGCGTAGGCGGCCTTGGGGAGATAATCGTTAGGGGGAGTGGTGGGTGTTGTGGGAAAGTCGGAGGTGGTGGGGGACCAGGTGTAAGAGCCGCGGGAGGAGCCGTTGGAGGAACAGGAAATGTCCATTTTGGTGACTCGCTTCGAACTCAGGTGTATAAAAAATGAGAATGAGATTGATAATCAGAATTTCCACGAGAAAGGAGATGGGTATGAATATGGGATTGTTGTTGCTGCTGCTGTTGCGAGAAGGGGAATATACGTATACAAAAATTACCTGTGGCAAGAAAAAGGGTTTCGAAGAATGCTGATAATAAACATCAAACAGTTAAACATGATGAAAATATATAATATTTCAAAAGCACTGACATACTGCTAGTATGTTCTAGATTGTGCCCAGAATAGGGAAGGAGGAAGGAAAAACTTGGTGAATGTTGCTATTAATAATACATGCGGGTAGGCACTATTCGGAAATGTAGACGTCAACGACTCTTTCCCTGGCATGGATGAGGGTCAAAGCCATCGAGTCTTTGTGGTGAGTATGGGATTAAATTAGTCTTATAGAACAGAGAGGATGGAGTGTTACTTGGAGATGTATTAGTACTTGAAGTATATTTTGAGTCTGCTGAAAGATATGTTGTCGTTACAATTAAAAGCAGATGTTACATGTTGGCCTGCTTTTTTCACTCATGGAAAAGCCACCAATGATCATAATTGCAGATCCCCCTCATCCTCATCGTCATTGCGCTTAACACTCGGCTAGATCTTTCCCCAGATCTTATCTTATCTTTTCTCCACTTAACCCACAGCTCGGATGTTTCGCTTCAATGTTGTCCGTGAAGAGCGAATACCCGATAAGGTTAATGTGGTCAGCATAAAATAAAATTGGATAATGGTCAGCAATTGGAAATCCTCCCCCTCCAATCCATGCCGAAATATCTAACTCCACATCTCATCCCTCACAAACAATCACATCCGCCTCCATGATGTATAAATCTCTTGATCTCAAATGCGTCGCATCTTTCCCATTCGCTCGCCATTACTGTTTACCACCTTGAGATTGGAGAGTTTATTGCCTGGTCCTTTGATTCATACTTGTGCCACTAGATCTCTAAGTCATTGTGAGAGGATTGGGATTTTGAGTAGAAACATCGTTACATCGAATATACCGATTTTCACGCTTTCACAAATTCGAAGCGCAAAGATGTCGACTTCAAGTGTAAATGCGAAAGAGCAGGAGGTGATTGATAGGTCAGCCGAGCTGGCGAGTAAAGAACCGGAAATGTTGGAGAAGAATGAGGGGAGGGAGGAAGCATTGAAAGATATTAAAAGGGAAGAGGAGAAAGTAGAGAAGAAGGAAGAGAAGAAGGAAGAGAAGAAGGAAGAAGCTCTGCCTAAATTGAGCACCGCGGATTTCAAAGTATATAATACTATGGCCGAACATATGAACTACTTCGTACGTCCCCTCTCTTAGTTTCCTGAAACTCCCCTTCCAATTTCTCAATTCCAACCCTTTGCTAACATCCTCTTTCCCTTAGCACAACCATTTCCGCCAAACCTGGACGCTCCTCCACACCGCCGTCACCAGCAACCAACGGCCGCGCAACCTCTCTCTCCGGCAATTTCTCCAAACGGGTCTTTCCTTCATCTCGCAACTCGAAATGCACCACGGCATCGAAGAAGCGCACATATTCCCCGTTCTCGCGCGCAAAATGCCCGAATTCAAAGCCGGGAAGAACGCGGCGGAATTACTGCGACAACACAAGGAAATCCACAAGGGCATGGATATCCTGCAGGAATATCTGGAGAAATGTCGGGATGGGGAGACGGAATTGAGCTTGAGGGTGCTGGGGGAGAAGATGGATAGCTGGGGCGAGGTGCTGTGGACGCATTTGGATCAGGAGGTGGAGACGCTGGGGGCCGAGAATATGAGGAGGTATTGGAGTAAAGAGGAGATGGTGAGGATGCCTATGTGAGGGATGGGAGAGAGCTTGGGAAGAGTGCATGAGGATTATTTTACTCGTCCGATGAGATGGGAGTAAAGATATGGATATTCTGAAACCAGCTCAGCTACTCACAGTACTTACACACGTAGACCAGAATAAGACAAATCAATGTTTGAAATTCCTTGCCCGAACATAGAAGTTAGATGAGTCAACCCAAACGGGATATGCCAGACAACTACACATTTAAACTCCAAACAAAGCAGTGAAAGGGTATCATTTAAACCCATCTCCCCCTAGTCCCTGTGAGCGTGTCTCTGGGCTTCCTTACTCCCGGCGAACATTCAATGTCTCCCCATTGTCCCGGCCAGGGAACTTGTTTCTCTTTCTTTCTTTCTTTCTTTCTGTCTTTCTATCCTTCTCCCTCTCTCATCCCTCCTGAGGAGCCTTTCCTTTCCTTCCTCCCCACAAATGCAGCGTCTGCTGTCCCGAAGAGTTCGCTCTTCTTCTTCCTCTTCCTTTCTATCGCTCTCCATAGCTCCCGGTGATACTCGAGTTCGAGTATACATACATGCGGTGCACCTAATTATCAGTCACAGTCACAGTAAACATAAATACGCCAATGCGACTCGAGAAATGAAATGAAATGCTATGTATATACTCGAGTACTCGAGTATAAGTTTTCATAATGTTCATTTCGATTTCGATTTCGATTACGATTACGATTTTGATACTATATCTGGATCTAAACCTGGATCATAGTATTTATTATATTGCCTACTATAGTACTCGAGTATATATATGTATAGATATGCACTCCATGTGTCCATATTCATATCCATATCCATATCCATATCCATAGCATCTCCACCATCCTTCCTCAGATTATTAAGATATCCAACCTCAATATCTTTCTCTACGTTGAAGTTCTCCCCATTTTACATTATCCATCCATCCATTCATTTCATCCACTCCTCCTCTTCCCCCTTCCTCTCTTTTCCCTCCCAAAACTATCCCCCATCTCCTATCTCCCAAATCCTAAACAAAAACAAAAACGCAAAACGCAAACGTACACTACAACCATCAAATTCTCCCCCCCCCCTCAGAAAAAAAAAGAATAGAGAGATAAAAAACCAATTAGTCCCAGACATCTCGATATCATCTCCCCTTCCCCTTCCCCTTTCCCTTCTCCAAATTAGAAAAATAGCATGTAAGATTCCACACATACATACATACTCGCATTATACACATACCCCACCCACATTTCAATCTCCAAGTATTTCTGCAAATCTCCGCTCGCCGAAAGATTTCCAAGTACAGGAATGTAAAATGCATAAAATTTGCTAGTACTAGTACTCAGAAGTGTAGATGTTTAAAATAAAAAAAGAGAACAATGCATTTATATTCGCTAATGTGGATATTTGCTGGTATCATATCAAAGATGGTTGGCTTGGTCTCCAACAAATAAAAATGAATAGGAGAGAATTTTCTTCTCTTGAGAAAAGTTCACCCCCAAGGAGGAGAATTGTTGTACTCGAGTATACGAGAACAGAGAAAGAAAAAAAAAGACATCGTCGTCAATATTCGTCATTATCTTGGTTATTCTCACGCCTTTACTATCCAAACCTAGTGAATATGTTAGTAAGCGATATTATTACCCGTAAAAAGGGGGTTGACATGTCAGGTCCAGAGGAGAAAAAACTTACTTCCATTTTCCCCATATCCAAACGTTCTCTCTTAGCGTTTGATTTCACGCTTGATAAAACCATATCTAAATCATCCTGATCACCCATCGTAATCATATCTCCATTAGGAACATCCTCATCACGAACTTTAATCTTGAATCGATCGCGCAGCCCAAACTTCTCCTTTATCTTGTCTTGAAAATCGCGGAAATCGATAGCCGAGCCTATCATAATGTATCGTACATCCTCGGCGTGAACCTTCACACGAACTTTGCGGATATCAGGCTGCCGAGAATCAGGTTGCCGAGAGCCAGCTCGACCATTACTATTATTAACTGAGGATGTGGTGCGGGATCTAGCAGGTGGGCGACTGGAAACCATTTCGAATTCATCCTCGTCAAAAGATCCTTCGTCGTATTCACTTGCGTATTCACTTTCTTCGTCGATATATCTATTGCGAGTATTGCGTCGAGAGTTATTCGATTTTCGGCCGGGGGAACTGTACATGTCGTAAAGATCCTCCGGGTAATCATCACCTTCCTCTTGCGTTGATTGCATTCGTCTGGGTGGCGGTGGTGCTTGTCTTGAGCGTGATTCGGATCTTCTGGTGCTGGAATTTTGCAGTTGTGATGGTCCCCTTGGCTCAGATGCTGTTCGCTGAGTCCCGCGTCTGGGCCGTGCGTCGGGGGGACTTCTTGCATCCGGAGGGCTTCTTGCATCATCACGGTCACGAATCTCATAGCCTTCGTTAGGACGTGCTTTTTCGATGTTGAGTTTGGGTGGCATGGGTTTGGGTCCGTTTCGAACCGAAGCCCCGCGACTCATAGGTGGAGGTCCAGAAGGTTTCTCCGCCTCGGGCGGTGGCGTCGGTGGGAAAATGGTTCGGTTCAGAGGTGGTTCTGACTGTTGTCTCTTACTCGATATCCCTGGCTTTACAAGGTTCGCTGCGGCGAATGAAAGATTCTCCGTGGGACGATCGTCCTTAGGTTGAACTATACCCGCCTGAAACAGTTAGTGTCACAAACTCAGTATATACAATCGGCATTACTTACATTCTTGATTTCCGAACCAGCAAAGCCGGTGAAAGCATTAGCACGATCTGAAGCAGCAACTAAACGTGCCTTGCCCAAATAGTCTTTTGTCTTTAAGTTCTTGACCTTGGCCTGATTGGGCCGGTAAACAACTCCTACAGGAATGGAGAAAACGGTATAACCCTATATGAATATTAGTAAATTTGGATAAGATCCCTCGAATGAGAATTGTACCTCTGCTTCATCACGAATTGCCTCATCGATGACATTGTGATCCTCGACAACCTTCTCTTTCACGGCAAAAGAGAAATCCTGCAGTCCCGCGTCTTTTTGTTGTAAATATATGTAGCATAATCCACGATTAAACAAGACTTCGCAAGAATATAGCTTGAATAAAAGACCGAGCTGGGCATAATCGATCATGTTATTTCCTCTCAGGTATAGTAAAGTATCGTTGAAATTTGCCAAAGCCTCCTCGAAATCGCCAACCAGGAAATTTGAAACACCTTGTTGAAAATATGCAACGGCCAGGTATTGATCCAGACGAACAGCCTTTTGGTAACATTCGACCTGTAGTGAATTAGATTCTGCACAATGTGATTGAGTTCTTTCACTAGGAATGGAAAGTACTAACCGCTTTCTCATGTTCTCCCAATGTCGCATGAATAACACCACAATTGAAGAGAATCTTCGAAGTATCTGCAATGACATCAAACTCCTTCAACGCTTCATCGAACTCATTATTATCGTAACGACCAAGAGCAGACACCCAGGTCTCAATTTCCTGCGCAATTGGTTAGTACCAAAAGTGTACCTTTTCAAATCGTCCTCTTTCTCCCACTTCTATCCACTAACCTGTTTCAAAGACATGATGACTTTTCTTCCTCAATTATTATATGTTCGTGAAATATATCTTCGTTGCTGGCTGGTCGCCTTCGTGAGCGACCAGCTTTAAAGCCGTGTAAAGTAGTAGTTCTATGTCGTGTTGCGATATGTTGTGCGAAGTTATCTCGAATTGTCGGTATCTCTTTTGCGTACGTCCCTTCTCTCTGATGCAACTAGTGTTTGTATTAACACTCTCGGAACCGTCCAGCGATGGGAGCTCAATTGTCGAGTGGTTGAGATTATTTCTTAAAGTATATTTCGAACGGATCGTATACGAGTCGTCCTTGTACTTTTCGTAGGATTGACTTTCGGGTTCCTCCCGTAGTTATTGATTAGTGTTGGATGCTGATCGTGATAGTGGGTGGGATGGTGGAGAATGTCGATTCGACACCTCGAAGGAACGTGGAAAACTGATTTCAATATTTTCCGTTCTCGTGATTGAGTCTCGAATATGGAAAGATTGATGTTAGAATTGTGAATAGAATAGAATAAGATACGGATAAAGTGCAAAAGTGTAGAGACAAGGGAGTGTGAGTGTGTAAGGGCTGGCTAGCAGCAACTCTCTCAACGAACGGAAGAAGATGAGTGGGTGTGAGAAGAAATTGAGTGCATAAGTAGCGCCCTAGAAGTTCTTCTGGATATGGAAGACTGAAAATGGACAGTAACACGAGGTTTGAATGCTTGGTACTGTATCCTTGAGTTTGCGTGGGTTCATAGTCCGATGGTGCAGTCACTTGCAGTGATACTAAAAAAGTGGATGAAGAGGGGTTCCTTAGTAGTCAAGAATGCTCCCAGCTAACTAGACAAGATCCACGGCAACTAATCAACGTTTCGAGTCGTACTGGGTTACGGAGGATATAAAGTAGATCGAACAAGGGAGTTTCATGCATGCGAATTGGTATATTTCCATGTTATAATCAGAGAATTAGGATCAAATATAGAAGTGGCTCAAGGGGCACTAATACGGGTAGAACACAGGGCAATACATAGGTATTGAAATAGGTTCTTTTATTTTACGAAGTACTATTCTTACCATTTTCATTCTACCTTGCTTGCTTACCTTTAGTCCTTGAGTACAAAACCATTTCTCAAATCCCCCTTGTCAGTCGCTGCTTCAAAATCCGTCTTACCATTCATTAATCGGACTACTCCGCAACACACCAACCTCTTCCTGCCTTGCCTTATTGGTATTGAAGTATCGTATGTCTGTATACTCGTACTATATACCTCGAGACTCAAGAGGCCGCGCACAAGGTTGAATATGTATTAGGAGAGTAGACAAGGGTTGAAAAGCTCTCGTACAAAAAAAACATTATAATGAATCGTCCAAGCCACCAGCAAAATTACCTTATTTCGTCAAAATTGATCAAATGATTGGTAAATGTGAATTGCTGGTGGCCACATGTGCGAAACTTGGATGAGGTTCGCTTGAGGCTAGTTCAAAGCAGCAAGTGTTCCAAGAACCCCATACCATGCCGATTGGATGGTCGAGAGTTACGCTTTCTGTCATTTTTTGTTCCATCGGCGCGTAATGGCTTTGAGATGCCCACGATTTCTCTCTTTTATTCGGTGGAATGATGGGTAGAATTGAGTTCAAGTATTTGAGTTCATGTTAATTATCACTGGTGATTGTGATGGGCCTTACTTGCAGCGGGATCGATATAATAGTTTACCCAGGCATGTTGTTGTTGATACTTGGGATTTCATTCGACATTATTTATAGGTTTTGGTCTTGTGATATCGTATAACTATGAATAACTTCAGACCCAAGGACTTGTTGCTTCATGCAGTTGGAAGGCTTCGAGATTCCAAGTTATTGTCGCCTCTAACTATCGATTTAGCAATGAACCGTATACTATTCATATACATATCCATGCCATGCAAATCGATCCAATATCCAAGAGGACGAAAGAAGTGTCTTGTCCCAATTCAATCCAGCACCGGTAATTCACCCCGAAAAGAGACCTTCGAACAGATCACAAATGGCCACGTATATTTACGTATTTCAATCCTCTTACTACTAATCTTCCCCTCAAATCCGTAGGGCAATCACTAGTACCCGCCGAATAACCTCACGGAATCTTATCGGAAAACGGATAAGCTTTCTTTTGACTGAGCGCAGGAAGCTTGGCGAGTCTCAGGGGAAGACACAACGATGGGACGAAACTCGCTTCAATCTCACCTTGTTTGAGAATCTCTAAACGACCACGTGGGAAAAAAAAAAAAAACATATCATGAAGTTGCCAGATCTCAACAGTTGATCATTATTGTGATTAATTGTGTTTGCATGATTATACAAGTCAAAGCACCATGTTTTTCGTCTCAACTATGAAGGCAAGTCTAACAGACTACAAATTCAACAGCCGACACTATTAAAGAGCGGCATGTTTTGCGATACTGCAAACACGAACGGAAATCAAGGTTACACATGATATCTTCGCAGAAGTGTTTGACGTTTGACAGGAGAAGCGTACCTACATATTACTCCTCTGTAAAGTTTGATTAGGGCCCTAGTAGTCTCATAAAACACTCCTTCATCTCTTCCTCAGTTCCTCTTGATTGCTTCTTTCGTTCTCTCCCTAGCCACAGCTCGTCCTCACACAAAAAGTACGTACGTACAGGATCAAAGCACACAGGGAGAAGAAATTAAGCTTCTTGAGTATACATATCGTATCATGCACAATCGTCTGATATATAATCAGAGCATGCCTTTGCTGACCTCATCCTTCCTTTCCTCCCACAATGTCTTGCCCGAACAAGAACAAACCGTCTTGTCATTATCCCACACACCTGCGCTCCGTGCTATCACCCCCACGAGTGTATTCTCATCATTCCTCTCAAACTTCCTGTCTCCCTCATGTTGTCTCGATACTACCATTCCCCTCCCAATCATCTCCCATATCTGAATAGGCTTGTCCAAAAACACACTTCCCACACCATTCGTCCCCACACTCACTGTACCAAACACACCTTTAGGTGTACTCTCATCATCCCCCTTCCACAAACCCGCCGTAGATATCGCTCCATTAGAAATATCTCCCGCTTCTCTAACAGTAGCCCAATACGTCCCCTCTTGCAATCCCCGAATCGTCAAATCCACCAACGTCAATGAAGGAGAAACCTGCACCATCCTCACCAACCCTCGCACCTTATCCGATACCGTCATATCATGTGTCTCAAGAATACACACAGCTGCTCCTATACAACTCTCAGACAAACATTCCCAAACACCAACCATAGAATAATATTGCAAATGTGACGAAATCAAACATACCATCAGTACCACCTCCCGAACCCCTCAATATCGCATCTCGCCCCGTCTCCTCAATCGCCCGTACAATCTCCGAAGGCGCAGCTACCCTCCACATCAGTAACTGTAACCAAAATCCTCCATGTTCTCTTGACGGGGTAAAGAGTTACGAACTTACTTGTTCCTTCAATAGTGACAAGTTGATCCTTGAGACTTGCTTCAACTTTTTGTATCCCGCTCAGTTTAGATAATGACCCTTGAATGTCTTTTACACATGCTTCACATGTCATAGGTACGGCAAATTGTGTCTAATCTCACGAGTTAGAGTGATCTTTCGATTTTAGTCTACATGCACGTGCTTGGGTATTTCGGGGAACACGGACCTGGAATGGAGTTGTGATGGCCATTTTGAGAGATATATGCCTCTGATATCTTTTATTAAAAACTTCTGAAGATGTAAAATGGCATATAGAAAAGGGAGATTCAATATGAATTCGAATAAAGTCTGAAATACAATATCTCCATCAAACGTGGGGCAACAATGAATGCTTTGAAATCCAGCCTCGGAAGCCTCGCCAAAAGATTCAACCAATCAAACCCCAGCAAAGCCATTCGAGAAAAAATGTCTTGGCATCTAGAATCACGACTGACTTCAAGGCTCAGACTTGACGACGACGACGACGACGAGTTCAATCTTTATATCCCGATTTCCAATTCCTCCGCGCATCTTCTTTAGCATCTGCCTTTGCGCCATCCATACCCCACGATGTCACAAACAAATGGATTCGTAAGTTGGCCCAGCATACATATTTACATACATACATATATACATAAACTAACAGCTCTCCAGACCAAACTTGCCTACTCCCGCGTCTGGCACCACATCTCAGCCAGCACACCACACATCCCCCTCTCAACCCTCCGACCGCGCCCCACGGCCGCCTCCCCCCCCTCCCTCATCGCACAAATAACCCCACCGCCCCTCGGCCGCCTAGCCTCCCGCATCGCGCTCATCCTCATGGGAAAAAATAAGCCGATCTACGATCCCTCGACCGACTGCGGCGACTACGTCGTCGTCACCAATTGCGCGCACCTGCACACCACGGGCAAGAAAATGTATCAGAAACTTTACTATCGCCATAACACGCGACCGGGTAGTCTGAAGGAAATTAGTATGGAGGGACTCATGGCGAAGTTTGGAGGCGCCGAAGTGCTCAGGAAGGCGGTTAGTGGGATGTTGCCGAAGAATCGGTTGAGGGATGGGAGGTTGGGGCGCTTGAAGGCGTTTGAGGGGGCGGCACATCCGTATAAGCAGAATTTGATAAGGTTTGAGGGAATGAGGAGGGATTTGATGCCGGATGAGATGTATGGGAAGAAGAAGGTCGGGGAATTTAGGAATTGAGAGTGTTGGGGGGAGAAAATGAATATATTATGATTGGGATGTTGCACTATTGGCTTGAAAATAGAGAGTGTATATTATGCATTGGTGCATGGGAAGGGGAGGTGTACAAGGACACTGTATATCAGGCAAAACACATCATGAAGCTATGGCTTGACACTGTTTATATTGGACTTATATGCTGAGGATTGTGAATATGATATTCACAGGTATTCTGCACCTGAACTTGCCGAGTGGCTATTTGATGATCAACCAGAGGAATCATTGTTCTTGTGATTTAAGCGGAACTAGGTATCACAAAGATATGGCATGCGAATTTGCAGTCTTCTGGATCTTTTTGAGTTCATTTTCAATTCCAAGAACTCTGGAAGTTAACATTCGATTATGTTATGTTCACAACGGCCAGCATGCCAAGTTATACGAGTGTTATGAGGATGAACATTCAAACATCGTGTTTGTGGGCAGAACACTGAAAACCGGCACGATGTTGGTTAAATGAAAGGGCTCGGTGTCATGAACGGGGATATTTTAAGCATTTCCTGCATCGAGTTATACCCCAAATCACCAAATACCCAACCCGAATAAGTATTTACCTTATTAAGCGTTTCATCGTCAACACAGTGGACCAATTCAATGAGATAGTTGGCTAAAGAAAACAGCCTAATGATTTCACCCGATACCTCATCATTATCATCCAAATCCAACTCCAATATCCATAAACCCAAATCATAAACCGGCCCCGTTCTTTGCTGCCATAGTCAATGTCAGACTTTACATCAAAGACGGTCATATCATCTCCACTGCCCTAATCTCTCCATCTTTCTCCGCAACCAACCTCTCCCGTAATGCATGTAGCTCCCCAAGCTCCGCTAGCAAGAAAGCTTTCACACGAGAACTGACATTCGAAGCATTCTTCATTTCTGTCGGAACCAAAACTAGGCCCAAGTCTTCCATCTTCTCATCTTTACCTGGTGCCGCACGTAGATCCTGTGCTGTGTATTTGGACATGAGTACGGAAGCGCTAGAATTAGTGGCATGGAGTCGTTTCTAGTGCTTTGTGAGACTGATTGTCGCGGCGCCAAAAATCCTTTGGTATGTATGGACTTTGCGAGTCAACACGGGACATAAGTTCGGGCGTTGACACATGAGACTTGGTACACGAGGAGACATCATACCGTGCTAAATGCAGGCAGCCGCTGCATCCAACAAGAAGACTCCAAGACTAGGTATCTAACCTTCGGGTTCGAGATGGAAAGAAATTTCGTATTGTATATCTCAGGCTCCAGTCGTATCTGTAGCCGCTCGTCAAAAATTGAGGAAGCTAAATCTTACAAGCTACTCGGCCAAATAATAATGCTGTAGTGTGATTGTTGGAGCTGAGCACTTAGAGTAGAGTGGATTCAACAATATACTGTCAAGCTTGCTTTGGGAATACTATATTATATTAGTTATACTAATACTGTACTATAGCATAGCAAACCTTAGCATATTATACCATATGAGACGAGTGGCTAGGCTAGGTAGATATCTATATTTATATTATATATTAGCTGATTGGTTGGTTGGTTGGTTGGTTGGTGTACTGGTATATATATATATATACATATCAGTATGATGAATTAGATCAGCCTTTGATGACTGGGTGAGAATAGAGATGTAGATGTAGATATGGTTATTGATTTATTGTATTGTATGGCATGGTTGGATCTGAGATGATGAAGATGTACTAAGAGAATCATCGGGTTACTGGAAGGACTGTGGAAATCATTCAGGAGACTAGGAGAGTAACGATGTGGATAAAAGGATTCCGATCAAAGCACTGTGAGGACCATGCAAAAAAAAAGTAAGTAGTTAGACTGAACTATAATTAAGTTGAATTCCATGCTTCATTGGTATCTGCCATGCTCTATAAACAAAGCCTAAAAATGCACCTAAACGATCTATACCTGAGATGCCATAACGCCTTCCGACTGTAAAACAATTGTGAGTAATAGTGCTGTGCATTGATCTAATCATGAAATCATGATGTATGCTAGAATTATAGCTTTGGTGAGACTGGAGTTCTAGTGACGGTGACATTGATAAGTCCATTTGGTCCGGATTGAGGAGCATAGACTTCTGCATCCTTTCCGGTGTTTTTGAGACCTTTGTGCCAGCTGAGATCTGTAGATATGTTAGAAGTTGCATGACTTGTGGAATGCCGGGTAACTTACCAACTTCGAAATAATGCTTATTGGGTAGAGAGTAGTCCACAGCCTCAACTTCCGGAACGGCTTCCAAAATAGAGCCACACATTTTGTACATGGTGTTTTGTACAGATGGGCTATCCTCCTCGGCGAATGTCTTCATGGTGATATTTCTGGCATCATCAAATGCTCTATCGAATTTTGGAATGGCCTCTTTCACAGCGTCCAATCCGGCAAATGTTTTCCAGGCCCATCCACAGTCAACATCAGTCGACAAGATTCTATCCCAAACCTCGGGAAGTGTGGTAAACTCGTCTCTAACGAAGCCGTGGAATTGCGAACCAGTGCTCTTCAAAACCAAAAGTCCAGCAATTCCGCTACGGATATCGATATTCTTGTTTCTCTTGGCAACAGCTTCAACATTTCGTGTCTCGCTCCCGTCTCTGTAAAATGAATGTGGGTGGGGTTTGCCATCGATAGTCATCCGTGTCCATCTGTGAGTGACAATCTTGATGTGGGCTGCGGTAAGGTGAGGGTAGGTATCGATAAAGTGAGTTCCGAGAATGCCAGCAAAGAGCTCGGGTGGGGTGACTGGGTGCTCTTTCGCTTTTATATAGACTGTATTCTTCATAGAATCGGTTGCAACCACAACACTGTTGTCGGCTTTAGTATATCTAGAGAATGGTTAGTTCTCAATTTGAAGGGCATTTAACGGGGTATGCAACATACGATGCCTCAATAGCACCCTCCAGTAATACACAAACAGTCATTTCAGTGACAGTTTGAGTCCCAGTTTGCTCATCTCTCTCTACCTTGTATACGCGGACGTTGTCCTTGCCATATCGTGCTGAAGCTACTGATGCCATGATAAATGCTTGATCTGATGTCGAGAGAGTAAGGAGATGCAACTGAAATATATGCAAAAGCTATATGCAATAGAGAGTGTCTCGATTAGTGCTCTTGTTGAATGTAATGCAGAAACTTGTATTTATTAGTATGATGTGATTGACGACAAGGAGGATAGCAGATGAATGGTTCAAACGAAGTCAAGGGAAGGGGACTTCAGTCTCTTTATGTGTTTCGAGTATAGTTAGTCACTAAAGGGCTCTAGCTGTAATGAAGTTAGATATTGAGATATTGATCGAGGAGAACGGAGAAGCTCCAAGCTATCTGCAGGAGTCCACCGGGTATGATACCAGGTAGCTACGAGAGCGTTGTATCTTGGCCCCTAGATGCAAGTGGTTGATCCATCGGAAGGCGCCGAACGCACGAGGCCGAGCTGCAGCCTTGTAACGAACACCATTGATTATTACTTTTTCTTTTACCTAACAATAGTAATCTTAGACCGAAAAAGCCTTTCGCTTTGCGGGTCCTTTAAGAAAGGCTTTTGGGTTTTCGGGATTTGAAAAGTTGATGTGATAAACGTCTTTTGTTCTGTCATATCAAAAAGTTGAGGAATTGGAGTACAAGTACTGTGTCTCATTGGACTCCCACTATTCTGCGATACAAAACCTGAGGCTGAAAGCGCTTTAAGAAGTCGGGAAGATAGTGACAAGGCTAGGAGGGTACGGCGGTCTCCCTTCCTAGAACTTATTCGACTGTACTATTTCTAGGGATCCCTTATCACACTTGTGTGAAGGTATGTGTCTAAGACGACTGTACTGCTCATTGGTAGAGAAGTCTGATTTCCTAGGGATTTTCGCATTATGCTCAGTCTGTTGATATCTACTCACTCTTATATCTTTATACCAGTAAGCTATTCTATTTGTACTCGAGTATAATATGCTGGCACAGTACATAGATTGTTCAAGAAGAGGAAATATATGTCTACTAGAATATACTAAACAGTATTATATACATGATTTTTAATTATATTAATGAACCATTTTTCTTTCTCCATCATATTGATGTGCATCTGAGTTTAATGTTCTTATTGGTCTGGTCTGTGTTGTTGTTGTGTGTGACAACCCCCATCATCTGCGGGAATGGGAATCAGAGAGCCTCAAAGGATGAATTGATTAATGAAACATCTTAAAATTATTCTATAAATCTTTGTCACAATACAATATAAACAACAATTTCTAAGATACATGATATGATACCCTGCTTCTACACCCCTTCACACATTTTGTAGCATAGCATTATCTCAAACTTTGCTATCTAGGTAAACTTTAGTGCCCACATCAACTCCGGATCTCCAAATATACCACCGCAAGAACATAGTGCCCTCGAATTGTTTTTACCCAACCAAGATCCTTTTCACTAAAGACTTATCCTATCTTTCTACATTGGTGTTTGGATGACTTCAGTGTCAATCCCTTAATACACCACTTATGCCACCCCCACACGAAGAACGTTGATCCCGACCTCTCGAATGGGCAGATGGTTGGACCATCGAGTATTCTGGGCACGTCTGTGACAGCTGCCCAGAAAAGTACATACGCACAACAATATGCTGGAAGGACGAGTTTAGATCAACCGGGAGGTTTGCAGCCGCCAGGTCAAATTGGCTCGCGAATGGCATCGAGCTCAACAGTCCCATTTGCGCCTCGTGGCTCCTCTCTTGCCCCGTCTCCCGCGCCCGCTCCCGGGAGCTTCAGCTCGACAATGCGTAGCCAAATGCCTACGATGCGGCAAGCCTCGGCGCTCGATACAAATGCTTCGATGATAAACCTGGAGCGATTAGACGAAGATGATAACAAGATGCCGGAGAAGATATTGTCGAATTTGCGCGAAACGCTGAGCAGGGAGATGAAGATAAAGGAGGGCAGTGAAAATATGTTGGAAGCGTTGAATACGAAGAAAGCAAAGCAGACAAAAGAGCAGAGGCAGAGAGTGGAGGCGGAGCTGAATATATCCAACCAGAAGATCAGAGAATTGAGATTCCAAATTACAGAATTACAGAAGCCTAAAGCACCCACTACTCCTACTCGCAATCGAATGGATGCCCTATTTCAAAGTAATGGTGTAAGATCACCTCCAAGTGCTTCTAAAAGTGTGGGGGGCTCAGAAGTAGCAGATGAGCCTACAGAGTCGCCAACATATGCGCTGGCCGAAATTTTACAAGCTCTTGAGGTGGAAGGTCTCACTCCGGACTACTATGTTGGTCATGCAAATGATCTGGTTGAGCTTTTCAAGCGCCATCCTACCTTGAAGTATGATCTCGTGTGGTCGGTATTTGGACTAAGAATGCAAGTCATGCTTTTGAGTGGGAGTCGAGAGGTAGTAGCTGCAGGATATCGTATGACAAGATATGCAATTTCTGATGTCAGCTCCTTACAAAAGATCCGTAGCCTCCATACTGATTATCTTGTTGTCGTGTAAGTACTGAATCTGACCAACATATATATATATATTCAGTCAATGCTAAAGATTCCTTAGATCTCTGATTAAGAAGGGAACTTCTGACGTGGAAAGGGAGCAGGCCTTGAAATTCATTCGAGCTTTTCTAGATGTCAAAGACGGTATAAAAGAAGTTTCCAGGGCTGTTGTCAGAACTATAGCATCAGTTGCAGATCACGGGGAGGATCGGCTCAAGGCTATCTGCATAGAAACGCTTGCGGAGATCATGGTCCGTGATCCAGGTCTTGTCGTTGCCTCTGGTGGTCTCAGACCTCTTGCGGATGCCCTAGGTGATGGTACATACGACGCTTCTGAGAGCTTGACGGCAGCATTCTTATTTCTGCTTGATTCTCCACATAGACGCAAGTATTTACGATCAGGTTATGAGCTAGAAATACTCTTCACTTCTTTCACCGACTCTCTGTTTGTAAAAGAAGAAATCTTGAAGCAAAACTCAAAGGCTATTTCATATGCTTTGAACTCATGGCCTGGTCTTATGACGTTGTCCATGTACAATTTCAGAGCTATCAAATCATTAGTATCATGCTTAATGCTACCAAATCCCATTGTACGCGAGACTGTCATAGATCTGCTCTATGGAATCTTGCGCATCAAGTCCCCTTTCTGGGCAACCTCTTTTCTTGCTGGCAGACGTCTCACTACATACGGACGAGTTGCAAACCTCAAAACAACACCAACAAAGGCATCGACGCAGCCAGTGACGGAAGACGAGTCGGGCGAGAAAAGCTTTGTTGACCATTATACAGCGCTTTTGCTGGCAGTTTTGATAGCTTCCGGCATGGTTGAAGGATTATTACAGGTAACTCGAGATACTGATAATGCGATGCTCAAGCGAAAAACCACTCTACTCATCGGAGAAGCTCTGAAGCTTGCAAGTCAACTACTGCCTTCAAACTGGAGCACTGAACTCCAATTACTCCCCGGATTATTTGCTGCCGCATCTCAATTCGGAACCGATGAACGATTCGTGGCCACTAGTACGGTATATCAGATTAGCAGTGTGAGTCGAACATTGTATAGATCAGCTCCATCCATCTCGACAACACTTTCGATCAACCATAGTCATGAGAACTTGACCAGCTTGGAAGATCAACCTAAAAGTAACCCTAATATCTCGTTTGACGAGACGACATTCCGGCAACTATTAGTTGAATCGCAAGTCTTAGCCAGCACAAATCCCATCAAGTGGAAATGGGACATAATTCTTCGAATCATCGAAGGGCCACTGCTGAATGGGAAGCGTCTTGATGAAGCCGTCAAAGCATCGAAATTCATCAAAAGAATCATGAGTTTCTATCGGCCATTTAAGTATAAATTCTCTGAAGTGAGAAATACCAGGATAAACCAAAAATATGTCAAGGTCGGTTGTGCACTCATGCACACTCTCCTTCAGACCATGGAAGGTGTCAAATACTTGGCGGATAATAAGCTGCTCAGACAAATTGCGGAATGTCTCGCTCAATGTGACCCGGTAATGATGCTTCTTAACACTGCAATAATACTTGACTTATTTATGCTAACAAATGGCAGACAAGTGGTCTCACCGCTTCTCAACCAACATTTTCGAAGGAAAGACTTTCAGAAACGCTCGCATGCGGCTATTTTGCCATGCTTGGAACCTTGAGTGGTGACCCAAAGGGATTGCAAATGCTCGATCGTTGGCGAATGATCAACATGATGTATCACATTATTGATCTAAAGCAACGGCCCGATCTGATTAAGCTACTGCTATCGAACTTTGACTATAATTTACAGGGACACCCAAGAGTTCTTCTCTCCAAGGCCTTGACCGCAGGATCTAAGGAGATTCGTATACATGCGACGAATGTCCTACGCAAATATTCCAGTCGGGCTCCAGGATCCACCGATTATAAATGGGCAATCGAGCTTCTAGTCACGCAACTGTATGACCCAGAGGTTGAAGTCTGTGCAACTGCCATCAAAATTCTTGAGGAAGCTTGCAATAGAAAAAGTTATCTCGAATTCATTGTGGAATGTCGTCCAGCGTTAGACCACTTGGGAGAGATCGGTGCTCCTCTATTACTACGTTTTCTTTCGACGTCTATTGGATATCATTATTTGGACGGCCTGGATTACATCAGTAATGAAATGGATGATTGGTTCTTGGGCCGAAATGATAGTTACGTCGGTGTCATTGAGGCAAGCTTGGCACGATCTTTTGTGGAAATGCCCGAGGAAGCATCACATCGGATGAGTATGGACGAGGATAGCTTTGATACTGAGGTCGAAAATGACGCCCACGTTCCTCCTCATTTTTATAGAGAACTTACTCGCACGAAAGAAGGCTGCAAACTTCTCCAAGATAAAGGACACTTTGAAGAATTCGCCTGCACGATTCGCGAATATGGTATGCTAGCCGATGATCCGGAGCTCATTCTCAAAATCAAAGGATGTCTTTGGGCAGTCGGAAATGTGGGATCCATGGAACTCGGCGCACCATTTCTGGAGGAATCCGATGTTGTTGAACAAATCGTCAAGATTGCCGAATCACACCAAATCATGAGTTTACGCGGTACTGCATTCTTCGTCTTGGGACTTATCTCGAGAAGTGTGCATGGACTCGAGATTCTTTCGGAACACGGATGGGACTCAAACACCACAAACCTAGGGGTTTCTCTCGGCCTCTGTATCCCCCAGAACCTCGGCAAATTCCTCTCATATCAACCGTGGGAACACAAAACGGTATCTGAAATCGTCATCACCGAAGAAGAAAAGATGGAAATCGAAGCCGCGCGCATAGATGACGATGAAACTAATCAACGCATCCTAGAACTGGTCGAAAATCTCGGAAATATGATTCTACATAAAAAAGCCATTGGAGAGTTAATTGCGATTAAAGAAAACAAAGGGTATGCGTTCAAACAGGTACGATTGTTTAAAAAAGTCATGATACTGCTAGAATATCATCATTTTCGACTGCCGATGCGCAGATTTGTCATTGAACTTTTTGAAAAGAGGGTGTTGAGACTTATTGTCTTGGAGGAGGATAGTGAGGATGAGGCGGTAGAAATGGGTAGGAACGAGGTGGAGATGGTAGAGGTAGGAGGTCAACGCGAAGAAGAGCATGATAGTGGGAGTGACGGGGTGAGAACGGAACGCCAGAGAAGTGTCACGGATATTGCGGCCGTGGCTGAGGCAAACAATGCTTCGATATGATATGATTCGATTCGGTTTGATGTGGTTCGGAAAGAAAAAGTACATGAAGCCGTAGGTGGATGGATGCACGGATATGAACGATCATGAGAGAGACAGAGACGTGACGCATATGATCTCATACATCTCATTCAGCACCCTCGTTTCGTACAAGCCAAGCAAAGCTAGCTAGTAAAAAATTCCTGGCGTTCCGTCCGTCCCCCGGTTCTTCAAATTGGTTTCTTTTCCAATTTTCAACTGTACACAATTACAATTACAATATTTAGCATAGGGATGTTATGGTGCGATTGGGGTTGGGTGGCTCAGGCTGGGTGGGTCGGTGGGATTGGCGTTGTATGGTTGTATGGCGTGAAGTGGATTGGCATTTGAGTAGATGGATGGATGGATGAATGGGGATGAATGAATCCAAGGGCGAAAAACGATTCGATTTATTTGAGGATTTGAAATTTGTAGAGCAAATAAACAAAGAAATGAAATGAAAGTTATTAGAATTTGAAAGTACCGTTAAAGAAAGTTACAGCTGATGATTTTGAAGTTCAAGTCACTCAAATCACAAGTTACAAGTCACATAAAGACCATATCATAAATAGATTGATAGAATCCATTTTGTGTGATTTCTATTAACTGACGCAGGCTAGAAAAAGAAAAGAAAAACAACCCCAAAGACAAAAAGAAGATTATAATTGTACAATAAGATTTCCCGAGCATCCTGCATTCCTCCCCACAAGCTGGGACCTCCTAACCCCCTTGACAAAAATCCACAGCTTTGGCAATAGATTCAGCCACCTTCCCCAGAACGAGTTTCGTGTTCCTTCTCCACGTATTTTACTCAAGATCAACCACTATCAGCCAGCCAGACTACCCGAGGTAACTTGTCACCCTTGCGCAACTATGAAGCCCCATGCCTTCCTCTACGAAGATGGCATTAGAGTATCGAGTCGTAATGGCACCAATGCAAAAACAACAAAAACGCAAAAGTTGTAGCGTAATATTCGTAGACCTTCGTGTGGATGCATCGAGGCAAGCCGGTCATCGGTCATTAGAGCCACGGGTAAAGACAGGAAAGGTATGTACAGAAGAAAGAGAAGCTTTTAGAGGTCATGATCGGCTGCCAACCATGCCGCCGTCCAAATCCAACCCCCGCCAGCCAAAGGAAATTGCGAATGAAAAGCACACCATTTTGCTCCATACACCAATACCGGATAATGCATTAGAAAGATGACCAACAACAAGATCTGGTGATGACGGAATATAGTCTAATGGGTGAAATCTGAGGTATCATAGGGAACAGAATGAGGAACTTTTAAGACACCCTTTTGAAATAGACCCCGCCGTAAATGCAAGATTAGCCCGCCGTCTATGCACAGAAATTATAATGCTCCTTTTTATGAAACACTGTTGTTAATGCTCAAGGCTCAAGAGTCACCCTCCTTCTTGTCGGATGCTGCTGTGGATTTCGACAATACTGGAGAAGTATGGGTAGAAGGAGGGGATGCTGGATTCTCTGGCTCACCAGATCCCAATCCTGCAAGTAGACTATGAAACAATTAGTTGGGTGTTATTGAGGTGACAGGTATAGAATATACTAACCTAAATGCATTTGCGGAAGTAGCCGATTTCCTATCCTTGTCTTGCGGGGGTGTGCCAGTTCTCGATGAAGCTCCCGAGTCTTCACCTGTTCTGCTCAAGGAACCTCCTGGACCCATCTTTCGCCCACTGTTGCTTCTCGAGGAGAACATAGATGTGGGTCCAAAGGACATCTGTGCATTGGTTTGTCGGCTTGCACCACCTTTGTTCGTAAGACGACGAAGGTCATCATTGGCGACAGTATTCTTCTGGTAATCAGGAGGAGGTTGGTTGTTATTGTATCCACCAGAAAAGTTTCTTCCATCACCACGACCCATTTGCAGGCGGTTACCACCACCACCTCTTTGGCTCCTGGAGTTCTCGGCAGCCTTTTGTGCAGCAGCAGCCTCGGCCTATAATTAGTTAGTATGTGAATGCTCGTAAAAGTGATGAACGGAACTCTTACCTCTGCTCTGACTTCTTCGAGCGTCTTGGGACCCTTGTTGGCTTCCTTTGATGCCCATCGCTTTCTACGAAGGTCAACAATATCCATAAGCATAAATCTCAGACGACTTGGCAAGTCAGGTGTGTCGAGCATGTTCGTAATGCGAGTGAAGTAAACATCCATCAATGGTCTACCCTTCTCGGTACTGTCAAGGTTGAGACCAATGGTCTTAAGAAGTTTGGTCAGTGACTCAATCTCAGCTTCGTCAGGAAGACCATTGTAATCCACAAGTTTCTTAACACACTCGTGCATGATACGCTCCGTAAGCATGCTAAGCTTGTACAGTTCACCAATGAACTGAACGAGACCGAGACCACGTCTCTTAGCAGCTGCAGCAATGTAGTACTCATCTGAAAGCATAACAGCTTCTTCAGTCTTGGCATCCTCGCGTTCACCCTCTGGCTTCTCTGGCAAATCGATCTTCCAACCTCTCTCGAATTCTTCTTGACATCTGTTGAGCAAGTATTTTCTGAAAAGATTACCACCGGAGACAATGTTTCCATTCTTATCAACAATGCTCTCATCCTTGATTTCAGGGCTCATGGTCTCTAACATGCGCTTGCAGAATTTGGCATACATTGAAGCCCAGTGAGCCTCATCAGTGGCCTTCTCAAAAGTAAGTTGGATGACCTGTCGCAACGTGCGGCCATCTGCTTCGTCCCTGGATTGCGCAGCAATGGCCAAGATTTGGTCCGCAATCTTGTCGAACTTCTCCGGGGTCATCTTGTTCAAAGCTGCCTTGACCTTTCTTTGAACCAAATCAGGTTCCATGTGGCCAGTGCCTGGAACGGCACCAGGAGTGGGCCCAGCAGCACCGGTAGCTGATTGGGTTTGGCCGATACTGCGTGGTTTCCAACCAGTAGAGGTAACTTGGATGGGTTTGATGTCCATGCCACTGGTGAGAGGCATCTTTGCAGCTGATTGAGCGTCTTGCTTAGCATTGCTACCTTGGTAGCCGCCTTCACGCTTGCTGCCGCCGCGAGTGGATCTGCTTGCTTGACGTGGGGAATGTGGCATGGAGGAATTGGTGGAATTGGCTCGTTGCATAGAATTTCCACCGGGGAACGCTCCACCAGGACGCTGGAATGAAGCCATAGGGTTGACTGCTGGTCGTGCCATGTTGCCTTGGGACATTGCGAAACGCTCGGCACTTGTAGTACCAGGTGGAAGAGTCTTTCCACCTTGAGCCCCAAATTGACCCATGGTGAATTGACCAACAGCGTTTCCACCGCCACGGTTTGATCCTCGAGGACCCATGCCACCAGGTGTTCTTTGTGATCCACCAGGTCTGGCAGAGCCTCCATCACCATCTCCGATAAGAGCCTTGATCTGTGATTCGAATTCCATGGAAGGTTTCTCAGTGAATACCTTTTGGAATTGGAGCAAGAACTCCTTGTCGTATTTGAAGGTCTTGCCTTTAGCGTTGACAGCAGAGTTCAAAGCAGGGTTTGGTGAACTGATGTTGGCTGGATAGATGGAAGAGTCAAGGACAGCCAAGAAACGAGCAGACTTGAGCGACTGGAGGGCTGCACTAGGTTGAGGTGGCTCAACAGGCTTGGTATTGAGGGGTGCAAGGTTAAGCGCAGCAGGTTTGCCTCGCTTCTCTGCTGCGAATGACTTAGGAGGTGGTCCCATGGATTCATCAGAAGTGGGAGTTGATGCACCGCTGTCGGTTTCGAGTGTAGCCTTTGAAAGCTTTGTGGCGAGGGTATCTGGGGTCTCCTCATTGGCGACATCCTTCTTAGAGTCGCCTCCTTTAGCCTTTGCTTCGGCCTCTCCTCTCTTCTTCTCACGCTCATCTTCGAGACGTTCCATTTCGCGCTCCTGCTCCTTGAGTTTGCGATCGTTCTCTTCAGCATCGGCCTTCTCAGCTTCAGCTTTCTCAGCAGCAGCCTTTGCTTTCTCGGCGTTACGCTTGGTGAGCATTTCCTGTTCTTTCTTTTCTCTTTCGACGTCAGCGGCTTCCATCTCGGCAATTTGTCGCTCAAGTTCATCATCGGCTTCCTTCTGAGCCTTTTCGGCCGCAGCTTTAGCATCTGCTTCTTCCTTGGCTTTAGCTTCCTCGGCGGCTTTCGCCTCCTCCTTGATCTTTTCTTCCTCCTTCAACTTGGCTTCAGCAGCGGCGGCGGCTTCCGCTGCCTTGGCAGCCTCCTCGTTCTTGGCCTCGTCAATCTTGTCACCACCTGCTGCCATTTTCTTCACTTTCTCTTGCATCTCTTGACGGATTTCTTCGGCAGACTTTGTAGCTAAGCTATCAGTACGAGTGTGTTGGGGAGTGGCGGACTTTGGTGGAGGCGTTGGTGTAGAAGAAGCAATGACAGGTGGCGTTCTAGTCCTGTTACTAGGAGCTGGGGACGCAGGTGCTTTGATTGCGTCAACATTCAAGACGTCGCCGTCAGGTCTCTTGATGACGATAGCAGCACTTTTGCGAGCTGGTCTCGAGAATGCAGAAGTTTGAGTTGCAGATTTTGGTTGAGGTGTATGTGAAGTGGAGGATGTAATCGAAGGAGCTTGTGCCTGACCCATGCTCGAAGCTGGTCGGTGTTCAGACATCTGGGATGAATTGCGAGACATCGGTTGTGCTTGTGGTGCATATTGACCGGGAATGTAGCTTGGCTGCTGGTAACCTGGTTGCGGTGATTGTGGGGGAACGGGATGCATGTAACTCGCTTGAGGATACTGAAAAGATGGAGGAGCACCCATTGGCATCATACCGGGATAAGGTTGAGCGTAGGCATTGTAATTCTGTTTCATAGTTAGAAATTGATCAAAGTTGCCAGAAGCTGGCGAAAAGTCAATATTGGAAACATCAGGAGAAACGTTGAAATGGGGAGTAGCAGAAGGGAGAGGAGGGAGGCTTGGGTTCGTAGAATTTAGATCTGCAGGTTTCTTCGGGATAACTGAATCCTTGGCGGGAGGTGATGGCAATTTCGACTGTTGGTTGGAAACAGGAAAGCCATGCTCCTGGTGCTCCGACTGCATGGATTCTTTTCTATTTCTGGCAATACCTTGACCATTGCTACCATGCGGGAATGCCTGTTCATTGTGGGTGAAGTCCTGACCGAAAGGTTCTGTTGAAGGCTTTCGGTAATGATGGGTTGAAGACTTGTCAATCCACCTCTTGCCTCTACCACCACGATTGAAAGATTGAAAAGAGAAGGAATCGCTGGAGTAAGAAGGACATTGGTTTACCGAGTGTTGTTGGTAAGCTCCTTGTTGTACTTGAGGACCTCCCATGTGAGGCGGCTGGTAGTAAGCATGAGCGTTAAACTGCTGTGGGCTTTGCATAGGCATTGCTTGGTTCATGTTAGGGGTACCAGGAATCGAGTTGGAAAGGGCTGGGCTTCGAGCAGCTTGGTGTGGGGAGTTCTGATATTGTGGCCGACCTTGGGTTTGGAAAGGAGGCATGCCACCACGTCCTGCATTTTGATTGTTTCTAAATTGTGGTGCGTTATTTGGGGGGGGAATCCCGTATGAGCCGGGTATTGTGGGTTGAATCCACCACGACCGCGTCCACCTTGTTGATAGCTGCCACGTCCTGCTCCTGGAGCTTGATTGCTGTCACTTTGCGCCGAATGCGATGATTCACGACGAAGGTGACCACCTGCCTGACTGTTAGGTGCTAATGGTCCTTGCGAGGCTGCTTGTCGCATGTGTCGCTACGAAGAAAGCAAGTTAGTGAATGTGCGACGAAGTTAAATAGAGTCATATGCTTACATCGCCATCGTTACCCAAACTACCAAAGGTCATGTTTCCTTGCTGTGCCGTTCCAGAAGGAGGTCGTCCACCACTTGCCGTTGGTTGTGGGATAGGAGATGGTGAGTTGGCAGGCGAGACTACTCTTGGGATGGGAGAGTCCATAACGGATCCGAACTGTATTCCACCTCTGGATCCATCTCCATTGGGAACATAACCTGCACCAATGTTTGCAGAGCTACTATGGATGATCGCAGGTGCAGAAACTGCCTGGCTTTTGGGTTGAGATTGCTGAGAAATGGAAGTCATAGGGTAAACTGTTTGTCGAAGGTGACCTCGTATTCTTTTCGTGTGAAGGAGATGTTTTGATTATCTGATAGATGTTATCGCGATAGGTATGGATGACGAGTATATCAATAATAAAAAGATTGAGTGGAGAGGATCTGGGGAGATTTTCTTCCTGAGTGGGCAGAAATTAATCGCTCTCAAATTAATTTCGGGAGGTGGTACTTTTCAAGTTGTCTTGAAATTGTTTGGTGGTTGATAGAAAAATTGTAAGAGAGAAAGCAGATATCTTGGTGGTGGTGGCTCGCCTAGTTGCTTTTTTTTTACTATGGGTTGGGGCAGGGAAAATATGATAGTGTGAATCAACCTTGAATCTAAGGCCAGTAAGAAATGTAGATAGATACCTTATCTTATTCTCAGCTCTATTTCTTAGAATCTATACTAGTATATAAACTATTGAATAAAAAATAAATTATATAAGAAAGTATACTTGAAGAAATTTTATAATAAGATTCGAAGCTCTTTAATTATAGTTTAATATATATATAAAAAA